ACAAGTATATTGCCTAATTTATGTATTATTTACAAGTGATATAAATGACAGAACTGTTTCAGGAGGCCGAAAAAATCGGCTAACTATTATTGATACCATAGATGCCTACTTGTGGTAATAGGCATTGTGACAGTAATAGTACTATTCTTATAGGTTTTTAAGACCCCTGGAAATACAAGTATTACCTAAATTATTTTTACTACTAAGTATTTGGCACACATAATTAAGCCTCAGTACGTTTTTAAATAAATTTATATAGACTATGTAGGCCTTCTATTTGCCTCATATCTGTGATTTTTAGAGAAAAACAAGGAAGCTGATATTTATTTTAAAGTTTGAGAGAAAATCAAAGTTTGTGAATCAGAAGAAATCAATTATAGCATTTTAACTAATAGATATATTATTTATTATTATTTACAGAGTTATATAAATTAAAATTTTTTTTCGAGGGGAGGGAAAAAATAGACTAACTGTTATTGAACCTAGTATGCATGCCTGTTGGCTAAAAATAAAGCGTGTTTTCTCATGATCAACTTTAACATAAGCTTTTAAAATCCTAATTAAAAATTATACACATTAGTGGTCGAAAATCAATATTTAAGAGGGAAAAAAACAAAAACGCAATTAAAATCTTAGGGAATTACAAGTAAGGAAAGAGGGACTGAGCATGTCAAAACCTGTTTGGTTCCAGGAGGAAACAGGAAGGAACAGATCCAAGTTTTATTAGTCAAGGATTCTAAAAATATTAATATGCTTGGTTAATATCTTGGCAACTTGCATATGAAGTTGAGATGATTAAATTTGAACATGACTCAATTGAAACAAAATAATGTCAGCTCCCTTGTTCTTTATAATTATAAATAGTTATCAATTAAATTTTTTTAATAATTATTAATAAGTAATTAGTAATATAGTTAAATATTCATATGATACAGTAGACTCTCAATTAACCAGGATGGTCGGGAAAAGCTTTGTCCCAAATAAGCGAATATCCAGAATAACTTGATTTATGAAAAAAAGGGAAAGAAAATGTAAAATACATTATTAGTTAAATTAAATTAAAAGATCATTTTCAGGTCAATTTTCAAATTACTCGTTTCTACTTAGCAATTTACTCAGGATAGAATATAATCACCACTTATAATTTCACAGCATTTCAATGTCAAATCTTTTTTTAAACCTACATTTTTAGATAAGAAGAACAGTCCTATGTGCAGAAGATACTCTTAAAATATATTTAGAACAGTAAAACGTTCTTAAATCTCCTAAGATTTTTCTTCGCTTGTGTAAAATCTCACAGCTTTTTTACTGTTCGGGGGATTGGGAGCTGTCGTCCAGGAAAATTAAATCCTGGTTAATTGAGAGTTGACTGGATTATGTTTCATATGAATGATTAGATAAATTATCTAAGACTTACACTTTAGTTTAGAAGTTACATAAATCTATATCTTCCCATAATTGTACATTAAAAAATACATAGTTAAACATATTTAAAACTATTAAAATACCATTAGAATCTTTACCGTTAAAATCTTTAAGAGCTTAGAGTAATAATTAATCACAGTATCTTAACTTTTTATTAAATTAAGTATAAATATTTTTTTAATCAAAAATTGATTATAAAAAAAAATTAACTATAAAATAATTTATAAGAAAGCTACAAGAAATGTGTCAATGAATTATTTAAAAGAATTTGAAATACTAAATATTTTTGATTTTATGAGCTAAAAATTTATTACCTTCAGAATTTCAAAATGTTAAAATTTATTTTGAAAAATAAAATCTTAGTAGCAGTGATAAAAAGATATAAAAATAAATTTCTGCTGCTCTAATTATATTCTTAGTTTTAATCCTTTATAACAGTTTAGTTATACTCTTTAAAGCAAAAGACCATGTTAAAACAATTTTTAATATATGTCAAAAATTAGTTAAGTACTCATTAGCTTTAAAAATACACTCAAAATAAATAAAATTAAAACAAAACGTATTATTGTTTTCGAATAGTAAACTGTATAAATATGTATAAAAATTGCAACACACTTAAGTATTTCTTTTACTGACATAAAAAAGCTTTATAGACCAAGCCCTTCCTCAAATTTTTTTCTCCGTTCTGCTCTGTTCCTTGCCCGAGAGTTCGAGTAGTTTACTTTTACAGCTTTATAATTCTCATTAATACCGTCAAACCATCTTAGTCTGGACCTGCTTCAAGTTTGGGTTATAAATCAGTTAGTTAAGTACTTTATTAGATATTAAAATCAACAGAAAAAAATATGATAACCAATATTATAAATTTATATTTGCTATTTATGTATAAAATTAATCGTTTTATTATGCCTGATAAAAACAAACACGAATAAAACTTATGTTACATTAATTCTTTAAACAATGTAAATACAGCCCATTGTGCAGCTCTAGTGTGAGGTAAATAAAATACCTACTTACTACATTTAAAGAAAAAACAAATTAAAGAGAAATAAAAGCCACACTTATCTAAATTATATTTAGATAAGTGTGAACACAAAATTAACATTAAAGTTGATGATTATTTAATATCTAAGCATATTAAAAATAATTGAAATTCTTATTTTCAAGTAAGAATTACAAAATAAAATTGAAACCTAAGTTTAAGCTAAAATAAATGATATAGATTGGTTGAATAAAAACAAATATAAGACTAAGATTTAAAACAACAATAATTACTTGAAGAAAAACATTACTATATAACATAAAAAGATAATGGTCGAAAACTATTTCTTTTTGCAGTCAGTGCATTCGTATTGGATAAAAAAATCACATGATGGCTCTTCAATTAACAAATGAGTTCCAGAAATCAAAATAAAATTTATATAAGTTATAATGGTGTTTATTTTTTTATCTATCTATCGATTTATCTCTTATTAACAATGTATTTATGCAGTTCTATTTTGATTAGAGAGATTTTTAATAAACATTTGCTGAATTTATTGTAACTATTAATATTTAACTTATTTTGTCATTTCAACTATTTTTTGTTACATTTGTATTAAAATGTTAAGTAACAACCATGAGTCTTATTAAAAATTAGTAGTTAAAAACTAAAAATGATGTTTCTTTATAATATTATAAAATAATATTACAATACTGCACATTTATTAATAAACACACTGAATAATCACTTTTAAATCACTATACAATTAACATGTTAGTCAATTTTCAGGTAAGTTATATTTATTTTGATAATATATTTATAAAATTTTTTTACAGCCAATATATGTCAGCATTCAGTCAAATAAATGATTTAATAAAAAGAAAATATTTCACAAAACAATATTCAAAATAAAATGTGTTATTAAAAATATATGTTAAATATCATATGTTAATATAACTATTAAATGTTTAAGACTATTTGCATTAGTATTTTGGTACATTAAGGACCAAACACATATACCAAGAGAGGTCATTCAATAGATTATTATTTATTTTGCCTCTTAAGTTCTGTAGTAAATACATATGCAACATTGAGAAATAGTAATAAAAATTAAATACAGAAAAATATTAAAAAGTTACAGCAGTTATTATTAAATTATAACTGCTGATTATGCTGCTTAAATGGTTGAAATGTATTTTTACTAATTTAAAATGCTGAACAAAGTTAATGAGTGTCAGAATAGTTTTAATAGTGAACTCATTAAACTTTTTTGATAATAAAGTATAAACTTTTTTAAAAAAAAATATTAAGTTTGAATATTTAATGTGTACGACATTTTTTTTAAAAATCCCAAATAAAAAATATATTGTAGATTTGATAGTAGGGAATGCTTTGAATTATTATTATTCTATGGCACTTCACTTAATATAGTTGATTTCAAACTTAATTAAAAATGCACTCACTACAAAAAAGCATTTAAAAAAAAACAACAACTCAATTATTAGAGAAAAATATAAAAACATTAAAAGAAACATGAAAACAAGTATATAATTTTTTAAAGCATGCATGAAATATAACAAACGCAAAGTTTTTGCAAGAAACTCAGAAAGGTTCAGCAAATTTAAAAGGACACAATCACAATGAAATGTTTTCGGATTTCCAATTTTAACTCAGATCTAATAATAGTAAAAACATATAACAAAATAACAGGCATCAAGTCCGCTAATAAACTAGTTATAAATAAACATTTTAAATACTTGTGCAAAATTCACAATGACTAGAAGAATATATCTACAACTTCCATCAAATTTCTATATACTATTATTTTAATAACTTAAATAGAAAAGTTAAATGAATTTTAATAATACAACCTTGTGATTGAAAGTTTTGGACAGATTATAAAAATTAAAAACATTATCATAAATATAAACTGATAACATTTTTTGTTTTGCAAACTAAATAAATATGTAATATAATTTTTTAAATTCTTTTTAATTTTAACTTTCAAAATTTCAAATTTAATGATATTATTGAATTATAAAAATCTTTACGATAATTAATATTATCATTATTTATAGTAGTAAAATGTCTTAAACTGGTACCTACACAAATATCATAACAAATACAGAAAGGTATAGAAAATAAATAGATAGTAAAGAATAAGAAAATAAATACCAAAGGTATATAATTAACAAAAGTGAAAATCTTTTGAAAAAATGAAAAATATTGTGTTTATAGCCTAAGACATATAACATTGTTTAAATATATACATATGTTTGTAGAATAACTTTCCTGCCCAGTTTTGTGAATAACTAATATAGAATTTTTTTTGGATAGAAATATGGGAAATGATAATATTCACCTTGAAACAAATTTAAAAATGAAAGTTAAAAAATTTCCAAAAAGTTTTCATAGAAAATTTTTGAATTTTCAAAAATTATTAATTTTATACATAATTTATGAACAAAAATTTTCATACATACATAATTGTAAATATCAAAGTTGATATCACTGGTAACAAAGTGCATTAAAATCGAATACCTTTCAATAACATTGTGAAGCCAAACAGACATCGATATTTGTATAAAAGAACAATGGCAAAATAAAGCTGGAACATACGGTTTTGGAAAATCAATATATAGAATAATAAGAGAATTTTTCATCGATCTTAGATGTAAGTGGGCAGTTCTCAAAGGGAGCATAACACAGATCTTAATTTTAAATTCTGTCAATTAAAATTGCATAGCCAAATCTTTCAACAAAAAATGAGCACCTTTTAAGTACTTTTTAAGTACTCAAATATTTTTAAGCACTATATACATTGACAAAGTGCAAAATAATTTTCAAAGACTTTACATGATCATGATAAAACAACCAGTTTCTGACAAATAAATCTTTTCTTGATTATATTAGTCATTATAAAAAGATGAAGTTTTTCTGTTCGATATCAGACAGTTGAAAATGCATTCTGAAATTGAGAATATCTTTCAAAATGCAGCAGAGTTGCACATGGGAGTGCAAGAATCTCATCATACCCCCTAGCTCAGCAGACGCACATATGGACTTTCAAGGATTTCATCAAACACGTAAAATTATTGGCGCTTTCATACGCGGACGCTGAAATAGATGGTGAGTGAATGAATTGTGAAAACGTTGAATTGAACACTGTAAAAAGCATGCTTTTGCTTAATACATGGCGAAAATCGACATGGTAAGGAAAAAATGTAAGTACTTTTTAAAAACACCCAATGAAAAAACCACCTTTAAGGGCTTGTAAAAAATGAAAGTTGGAAATAAGCACCTTTAAGTACTTTTTAAAAACGCTATGCACCATGAATAAATTATAATTCTATTTAGTGAAATTATTACAAATTGTTTTAGAAACATAGCGTTTTGATCATTAAAAACAAGATTAAGAATATAGAGTTTAAAAAGGACAGTTACTTGATAACACCCTTAAAGATGCAGCAATAATAAAATATATTTTACTGTCAGGAAGTGTTTTTAAAAAAGCAAATAAGTGTTTTGATGCTAGTCCCTTAAACTTATTTATTAAATTTTTAAAATATTTTTTTAAATATTTTTATAAAATATTTCTCTAATAAAATGTCATTTTCTAACACGTGAATATAGCATTGTCTAAATCATATAATGGAGGAATAGTTTTTCTTGTAATTTTAATCTGATATTCAAAGTTATTAATTATTTAAAAAGAAAAATTTATTGCATAAGTAAAAAATATTTAGTGCATAGAACATAAATTAAATTCGTAATTAGCTGTTGTTAACATTATTGTTGTGCATAGAACATAAATTAAATTCGTAATTAGCTGTTGCTAACATTATTGTTCCCACATTTTGAGAAGTGCCCAAGTATTGAGCTATTTCCAAATATCAAGTGAGTAATGATATTACAAAATATTTTCATTTAGCATAATCAATAATCATAAGAAGTGTCGTTTTCTTTTAAAAGATGGCAACGTTAAAGACACAGATGTAAGTACCCAAGTAATTCCATACAAGAACATTATGAAAATAACCATTGTCATGCTAATAATAAAATGGCTCAGAGAAGTTCCAATATCCAACCAGCTGCCACTGTCTTTAACCATAAAAAAGAAATGCTGAAAAAAAAAAACATCTCTAACAATATTACAGTGAAAAACAAAACTTTAAAAAAGAAAGTATATCTTTGAAATAAAGTAAACTGAATATAAAAAGTTCAAATGATCATTCAGAAAAATAAATCCTTTTACAATATTGGACACATAAAAGTATCATGTTTATTTAAATTAAATATATAGGAAAGCAATCTAAGTTGTAGAAAAAAAATCATATTTAAATTAATTTATCTCGATCTAAGTCTTCACTGATGAAAATAAATAATAATTCTAGAAGCTATTGCATTCTCAGAATTTTAATTAAACAAGTAAACAAAAACTTCTTAATTAGCATAAATTAAGATTTCATGTAATTTACAGAAAATAAAGTCTAAAGAACATAAACTCAACGGCTTAGGGACACTAAAACAAATACAAAGGGCAATTATAAAAGATTCCTTCTTTTCTTGAAAAAATAATAATGAGAATTCCCCATTCTTGTCTTCTCAGGTTAGTGACTTTCTTTTTCAAGATTAGGAAACAACACTATTACCTAATTTGAAACTCCTCTTTCTATTTATTATCACGCGGTTCGAGGAGCATTGTTAGTGAAACTTCACCCAGATTTCATTGTAGAGCCCATGATTTTTAACAAAATAAAAATTTAAAACAGAAAATAAATGCTAAAAAATATAAAAATAGTTGAACCATATTCTAAAATATGCCTACTTGCAAGTCAATAAACAGCAGCCAAATTTAAAATAAATATAAAATTTACATAATTTATTGACGTGATACTCACCAAACCTAGAAAATCTCCCATGAGCAGCACTAGTAAGAAGAGTGCTCTGGGTGATGCCTTTAGACTTATGTTAATTGCTCTTAAAACACAACTGACGATTAGAAATGGTATGAGAATCTGCAAAAATAAGAATACATACCAAAATTATTCAACAAGAACCATTTTTTTGCATACATTTCTGCAAATCCAAATGTACACACTTTATTTTACAAGATAGATTTTTAAGGTCAATGGCATCTCACGAATAATGTCAAAGGCATCTCACAAATGAAAAAAAAGATTTGAAAATCAATTGTATATGTTAATATAGTATACAAAAAAAGGGCTTGAGGCTTCTTCAATCGAGTTCCTCTCCACTTTCTTTTCATTCTGTGAAGCTTTATTTAAAGCAAACTTTAAAGGGCAATTCAGTAAACAAATAAATAATAGAGTAAAATCTAAGCGCTGGAAAGCTGAAGATCTTTTGAGGGTTTCTGGCAGTCCATGTCGGCACGGTGCGGCCCAATTCCGTCTACTAACCGGACATGATTGCCTTGCAGATCACCTTCACCGTATTCGGATCTTCTCAAGCCCTTACTGCCCCCCCTGTAACTGTAATATCCCTATGGATAGACACCACCTTCACCACTGTGCAGTCCTTAGAGGCGACTCCGAGACTGAGCTTTATTGGAAGGCCAGAGAACTTATGAGGCAATGACTTCGGTCAATTTATTGTTGTGTCATCTTTACTTCTGTTCCTGTTCATTTATTTTTATTTTTGCCTAGCCATTGGAAATAATAATAATAATAAAAAATATAGTATACATAAAAACTATATCACGTCCTATACTTCCTTCAACAGAGTGCAACTACCATGTTATAAAAAATATTGTAATCTTATGTTTATAATTTTATAACATTATAAAAATAATAAAACAATTAATAAATAGAGAATGTTTTTATGTGAAAACAACTTCAAGTAAATAAACTTTCCATTAACATTTCTACACAATGAAATTTGAAAGACANTTAAATACAAAAATCGATGATTGATATTAAAATCGTTTGATTAAAAATCGCGATTTTAGCAGATTCCGGTGCAGTTCCTAATATTTAAAATTCCAAAAATCAGTCAGACAAAAAAAAACAAATAAATAAATAAATAAATATCGGCGGTCGAAACGAAACGCTTAGACTCCTTTTCACTCTATAGCAGAAGTCGCAGTAATCCGACTACCGTTCGGGCGGCTTGGGTTTCTCCAATAGGACTTACCAAAAATTTTAGTTTTTGGAACATGGTCAGAAATGTTCAAAATTGGGAGAAAAAAAATCGGATTTCCGCTTTTTCGCGGGGACACGAAGCGTTCATTGGAGGATAATCAAGTGATGCTTGATCGCGATGAAGCAGATGCGTTTCGATCCGAAAAACTAAACATAACGGAATGGGAAGAAAAAAAACGGCGACGCGCGACAAAATTATTTTCCAGAATCGACGTGAAATTCCCTGAGAATTCCCGGTTTTCCAGTGGTATTTCAAAATTCCCTGAGAATTCCCGATTTCCAGACTGAGTGGCCACCCTGAACTACCACGTTATAAAAAATATTGTAATCTTATGTTTATAATTTTATAACATTATAAAAATAATAAAACAATTAATAAATAGAGAATGTTTTTATGTGAAAACAACTTCAAGTAAATAAACTTTCCATTAACATTTCTACACAATGAAATTTGAAAGACATCACTGAGAGTGAAAAAGCAAATTAACACCATGGAGAATGACCCTTTGACGCTTTGAAGCCGCCATACAACCAACTTGTGGCTACCCTTATATTTACACAAACATTATACTGGAGGAAAGACAATAATTAAGAGTTATTTAATTTAAGTTGAATTTCGTTAGCGTACATGAAAAAAGAATAAAGGTGCTAAGTGTATTCAATAATGAACAAATATATTGCTGAAATGAAATAAAACGGTTTGGTTATTAAAACAGTCATTAAGTCAGCAATAATAGAGATATATAAGTGCATATTAATAACAGTTTGGTTATATTAATTTTATTTTGATGATTGAATAAATAATTCCTTACAACAATAAAACTTAAAACATAAAAAAAACTATACAAATTTTATTCATTCATAAAATTTATAGTTTAAACTTTTAATTTAGATGAGACAAAAATGAAAAATCAATGCTGTTATAAATAGGTTTTCATAAATAAATATTTCTTTTTTAAAATTAGTTAGACATCAGTTTTATTTAAGGTCTTGGAAAGCTATTATTAAAGAAAAAGAGCAGAAGTAATAGAATGAAATCAATAAAAAAGATAATAAATTTCAAAGAGGAAATGGAAATTCTTAAAGTGAGAAATGGCATAAAAAGAAAAGTAACACAGTTTAAAAATATGAAATATATAGTTATGAAAAAGTATAACTACCAACTAATATAATTAAAATCCTTATAAGTTAATACTTTACTTCAATTAAAGTTAACACTTTTTTTTGTATTTTCCAATAAAGTATAATTTTATATTAGATTTAAAATAGTTCAAATTTTTTGTTCTCCTTTGATTTTGAATAAAAGAGTGAACTGTAGTATATAATTTAAATAAACAAATAAATTAAAAGCAAAACTACCTTTATAAGCATGAGGATGCCCATAACAAATGGATTGAACACAGTGAGGAAGCAATAAATGCTCGTAGGATTGAAGCTGAAAAACAATTATTGCATCAATATTTAATATATATATTTAAAAAATGTAATTGCATAGGTATACAAATCTTTAAATAAAATTATTATGAAATTTAAGAAGAATAACAAAATTCAGCTACCTATTGATGCTTGCAATGTTTCCAGTACCAAAAAAGGATAGTAAAATGAAAAACATCTGTCAAAACATTAAGGAACTATAAAAACTCAGTAAAAGCTTCGACTTAGTTATTCAAGTTAGTTATTAAACAAATGAAACACATATTTTTGCTAACAAACAACAAAAAGTTTAAATTGGATTTTAATGCATCAAGTATATTTTTTGGAAATTATAAAATTAAATTACAGTAATTTTATTTGGGTATCTTAATAGTAAAAAATTCGTTATTGATTTTCAACACTATTTAAAAATACTATAATTTTTCTGCATCTGTGATAAGATGATTGTAATTACTAATATTTGTTTGAAAGGAAAAAAATCAAAAATAAATGAAGTGCCCTCCACTGTGCCACATTTATTCTAGTTACTGGGTTGGGTAAACTTAGATTAGTAAAGATTATTTAAATTAAATATTTAAATTTATCGATAAAAATTTTGAGATTCTTATTAAGTAGCAATAGAAAAACATTTAAAAAAATTCATGATTGCATTTAAAGGTATTCGGCTAAATTTTTAATTTCACAAGTACACCAAAACAATATTAAAAACTGTGGTTTTTAAGTAGAGAATTATAGCCAGATTAAATTTAGATATTGATTATAGAAAAGCAAAAGGAATTTTATTTTAAAAAATATAACACAGAATTTGACATTTCAATGAGTTTGTAACAAGCATAATATTCATTTTAATTTAAGAAATTTAATAAATAGGTCCTTTTTCCTTATGAATATCTGAAATTTGCATGATCATATATTTTTATCATATTTGAAACACTCTTATTTCAAGTAGGTAAAAGACAAATGTTACAACAAGCTAGATTGGCTAAAATCATGATTTTTTAATACATTTAAAACAGAGTTTTTTAACATTAAAAACACTGATAAAATGTATTAGCAATGCAAAATATTATCGAAAAAAAATATTATAACTAAAATATTTAATATTTCTCAGTAAAATGGTTAAAATTATTCTTACAACTAACCACTAATTAAAAAATAAAAAATCATATTAATCTTTATTTAGGTTAAACATCCTCATGTAATGGGAATGACAAAGCAGAATTTGCCAGTTACATTTCAAATGAAAAATAAATTAATTTAAATTAGGAAACATAAAATAATAAATTATTTTGAAGTACACGTTGCTGGAACAAGTCCATCTTAATTATTCATAAATGCTAACTACATATTTATTAAATTTTAAAGGAAGTCTGTTTAATTCTAATAACCATAAAACTAAATGGATTATAATTGAGCTGTATGTCTATCAAACAGTAAAGTATTTTGCATAAACAATTTACGTAAAATTAAAATATAAAAGTTTCACTGTACTTTTATCTTCACTTTTTTCTATTTATTAGTCTATTTTAAACACCGAATAATAATTTAGGCAATATTTCTCTGCAAAAAATCCTCAATATTAAAGAAATCAGATAGTAGAAAAATATTTTCTACAGTCGTCTATGATTTTTTTTAAATCAATTTTTTTTTTAAAAACAGTTGATTTAAATTGTGATTTCATTAAGTGTTTTAAATCATATTAAACCTTAGCAACTAGCAAAATTAAACTGAAAACAAAATTAATTAAAACTTATACAAGGAAAAGGATACAAAAAAGTAAGCTCTTCTCAAATCACCAAAAGATATTTGTTTACTTAATGCTTTTCTGGATAAGTCAGTAGCAGTATGTGTAAAGCACATGTCCTGTAACTAAACAAGCAGAATTACAAAGAAATGCTGGTTTTAACTCTTAATACTATTGACAAACATGTAAAAGTGCAAATAAGTTGGTTTAATTTAAATATTTCTTTACCTTCACATAATTGCAAGAGCCCAAGTGCTCAAGTGTAAGCCACAATGCCATTTGGATACAAAGTAGGAAACAAAATAATCCCTCATGACTAGTTTATAATTAAAGATAACATGTCAAGTGATAACATATGCAATTCATTAGATTTATTACAACTAAAACACCATCAACATGCCTTTATGAAAAAAAATAGATGTACAAAGTGCTAAATTATTTTAAAAATCACAAATGAAACTTGGATACCACTGGCAAATAAAAGGAAGTAGCAAAGTAAATTCTTATGACTAGTTTTAGTTAAAAAATATTGAGCGATAATTTATATAAGTTTAATAAGATATATTGCAATAGAAAGAAAATCAATATAATTTTATAAAGTATTGGATAAACAGACATTGTTTGGACACAACTGCTAGCTTGCCAGTATTTGGATTTACTGTTACTTTGCCTTTACCAGCGTTAAATGATTTACGTGACAATTGAAAAATTTTTTTTTTTTAAAAAAAAGATTAAATCAGTTATAAAAAAGTCATTAGATGCATATTTTACTAGGAGCTGAAGAAAATATATCAAATAATTTTGAACTCATTATTCTCTACTTTTGCAGAGGTACTGAGACAAAATCTTTAATTTAATATAACACAAAACAATTTTAAAATGTAATCTTAAAAACAAAATTAGAAAACTTAAGAAAAACTATGATTTTAATGAATAAGTCATATTTTTATAATATATATTCTCTTATTTCTTTATTTTATTATCTATTTGCTTTAGAAGTACTTTTGTAACAGAGAGAAACATAAAGATTGTAAAATCAGTAGAGTCTCCCGATCAAGGGAATCTCTCTATAAAGAAATTTTTAATTAGAATGCTAAATATTATTTAAAACATGCTCCATATAACAAAGCGGTTAATATAGAATAATATTTTTTTAAATTTTTGTCAATTTTGAAGAAAGTTAAAACAGAAAAATTAGATTTCCATAATATAATTTTGAGGAATCATAACAATAGGAGAATTTCATGTTTAGATTTATATAACATATAACATGCATTATTTTATTCTTAATTAAAAGTAAAATTTTTTTTTCTTCTGAACTTACCCCTAAACATTTTTTGCAACATTTACCTAAATGATTGCAAAACTTTTCTAAATTCTCTACGGCAAGATTTTATATAGGATACTATCTCGATAGTGAATTTTTAAGATAGGTTCTACTGTAGTTTCTGAAAAATGAGTTTTAATGCTATGGTGCATTTTGTACAAACAAAGTATAACAAAAAACAATTTTGGATTGTAAAGGATACGAAATGCTTAGAAGTATATAAGGGGCAAATAAAGAAGTGGAAACATTTAAGAGACGCGTTAGTGTTGATTGAGAACCAAACAACGGAAGCAATAGAGATGCACCTATAAAAAAATATATATTTTAAGCTACAATACTTCATAAAGCTACAACAGTTAAATATGAACAACAATTTTAAAATTTTAACTTCAAAAAATGCATTCATTTTAACACAAATATGTAACATTTATATAGTTTTAGTAGTGTGGATTTAAGATTATTTTATCAAATGTTAAAGTATAAGCAACCTTTACATCTTCTATTAGAAATTATACTACACAACTTACAAACCATCACAATATTTAAAGCAAGTAGCAACACATAAACTCTTGTAAAACAAATCAAAACCACAAGCTTAGCCTTAGTATACTGTGATTTTCTCAAAAACATAATTATCAAAGAAAATCACATGGTAATACATAATTTAAAAAAAAATGTGCATAAAAAGAGCATCCTTTTTCACCCCTTAAATGTTACTCAATAAGAAAATAAAACTTTTGGATAATAAATTATTCTAACATTAATAAATATGAATGCAGTTTTTTTTTCAATTTTTTTTTACAATTATAAACTTTAGAACAGAACAGCCATATATAACTTCAGCAAAGCAAAAAGACCTTCTGCAACAGTCAATTGTAAGCCGGTCAGGGGATTAAAGCTCTATAATTTTTTAAACAACAGCACACCCTTAGCTTTTACTTCCTAGACTAGATGGTACCTATTGTTCTAAAGCTAGGCTGTTGCCTCAATAACGCTGATATTGAGAATTAAAAAATATTAAAGGAGCTACTGCAAATAAAACTATAAATGAAAATTTTTTCAAATAATGGATATATTTAAGGACTGAAATTACTGCTCAATATAATACAAATCTGAATCAAATAACATATAAAAGTAAATAAAAAAATGAAACAAGATCAATATTCTTAATAAATTTTAATGACTCACCTAATATGAGCCAGGATACTGCTTGATTTATAAATGGTAGGCCAGTTTTCATGGCTATACTTTGAGAAGTACTTTGTACAGTAAAGGTAGAAATGCAAAGGATCACTACCTAAATTAGAATTGAATTAATTTATTTCTAAAAAAAAAATAATATGATATAAAAAAAAGGTTATAAGTGAACTTTACCTGCATTGCAGTTAAAACAACAATTCTATGGGGCTCTCTTTTAGACAATCGATTATTGAAAATTAATCCAGTTTCTGGCCTACATAAATAATAGGTTTCGTAAAATATAATTTTAACATAATATTGATAAAATTTAGCAAACTTTATGATTTAGAAATTTACCTTCTAGCACAGAAAGCAACAGCAAACACAAACAACCATCCAGCTAAGAGCCTAAAACACAAAATAAATCAACTTTTAATTAAAACAACTTATGTATTTATTTACATAATTCAAGTGCCAAAAACAGGAAGAAAACACCCCCAATGAAATACTGTTAAATAATGCAAATTTATAATATATTAAATAGCTCAATGAATATAAAGATTTTTTAAATCTTAAGATGTTAATTTTCAGAAGTTATCATTGATCAGCAACATAATTATTATTTTTTTTGTGTGTGTGCGTGTCTTGTCATAATACGAAACCATTGAAAACACTATAATTGAATTTATTCCATTTCAAAATTGTGATGTTAGGAACTATAAATTTCACAATAAAAAAGTATGAGGAGATCCACGACAATGAATAAATAATATATTATTAGTGCTGCACACTTTAGTTACATCCTTCGAACGTATTTAAAGTGTACAGCCCTTATCTTGCCAAATTTTGGATGAATTTATTTTTAAAATTTTATAATTAATTTTCAAGCATATTTTTTTATTAATTTTCAATTTTTTTAAATTAGGTTATAGTAAAAAAAATACGGCAGAAAAAAACAAAAATCAGAAGAAACATTTTTTTGTAAATATACATGCCAAATAAGAAACTAATTATAACTACTGTACATATTAAGAAAAGATACATGAAAAAGTTATAGAGTGATGCTTTTCAGTTATTCAGTGCTGTTTTTTGAGCTGCTGATTTTTAAGATATTGATTTCTGTTTTTTATGACCAAGATTTTTTTTCTTTTATGATTTTTTAAAAAAAGAAATTTCTTGTACTTTAAAAATGAATTCCAGTATGTTTTTCAATTTTTATTGGTTTCATAAAACCATTTTCTTGACTGAAATTAAAAGATGATAGCACAATCTTAATATATATACTTAAAAAAAAAACTATTTTTTCCCCTTCATTTCTTGAAAATTATATAACTGAACTTTAGGCATCTTGAGATAGAATGACTAACAGCAGCTGCTTCTGGAGAAAGAACTATTTAAAAAATGTGTAGAGTATATCTACCACTACAAAAAAACTATTGCAATTTCCTAGTATATAAGACATGTTAACTCGATTCTACGTTGGGGTACCTTTTCATAGAAGGTTGACATTACCAATATCTACTCTCCCACATTGGTGATCCGGATGCGATGGATGGTCCACATTGGAGGGTTGACTTGCTACTTGTGACTGTGACATTGTACTCCTCACGCTGTTGCCTCTCAGTCTCGATCACACACAACGCATACACTCGACTGCTATAGGCAACACAGGAGCGACCAAGACCGTTAACTTAATACAGCTGTCACGATCAGCACTCAAAAAGTACGGTGTTCTTAATACAGCTCTCTCAGCTTCTCACAAAACAGCAATGAATCAACTAGTGGTATCCCATTCATCGAATTCTATCACAGATAAAATTCTTGTGGGGGAGTACAGTAGTGTATATGGTTTTCTTATGTGACGCGTATTGTGCGAGCTAGACTGTCGTCCAGACGTGGACTATACGGTTAAGGGTTTTGCAAACCTAGGTACGTGTCCACGTTTGGAAGAAAAGAAAAAGTGTATATCTACCACTACAAAAATACAATTGCAATTTCCTAGTATATAAGACACGTTAACTCAATTCTATGTTGGGGTACCTTTTTATAGAAGAAGGTTGACATTGCCAATATCTACTCTCCCACAAATGTTTCACATAATAAATTCATCTTTTTACAACATTATACTAATAAAAACAATTAAGTGAAATGACTATATGAAAATTAAGTTACATAATTTTTAATATTAAAACTTCGCCTTTTTTCAAATGAAAACAACTGAACAAACTAGGCCAATAACTTTAAAACAATACGATTTACATAAAAACTAAAATGTATTTGATGAATTAACTACAAAAAATCGCAGAATCCAATTTTTCTTAAGACAATAAAAAACTTGATTTGAATTAAAAGTTTATTAAAGTAATCTTTGTTTTTCTCCAATAAAAATACTAAAAAAGATAAATTGGTTTTAATATAAAATGCCTCACACATATAATTTTTTTAATTTAAATTTTATAAAATTATGAGTTATTTAAACTTAAATTCAGCACAAAACAGCATTTTATAATTAGAATTATTCTCACTGTCTCATTGTAATTCAAATACTTACACAGAGTTATAATGAGTATCTTTTCCAATGACAGGCATCATAGGAAATATTGATAGTGCAAAAGAACTTAAACACCATGCGAGACTAAGTTTCTAAAAAAAAAAAGATGTCTATAAGAAATTCATATAAACATAATCTGTACAAATCGAGTCAAATAAAGTTTTTTTTTAAAAGCTTTGAATATAATGATTCATTTTAAAAGTTACAAATATTTTTTTTAAAAGTCTACATGGACCAAAAACTAGGACAGCTACAGAAGAATAACTATTATTTTAACTTAAAAACAATAAAAGCTTGAAATAAATCTGTAAATGCAATGTTTTCTTCAAAAAATAGCTACAAAAGAAATCTAAGCAATATTTAATTATATTTTTCAAATGCGCAAACTAGATTGTCTTTAAAGTGAAATTTAATTAAAATATCATAAAATTATTTTATTCTTACAATATTTCATTTGAAAAATAAAGAAAATTAAATATTTAGTAGCATTTACTACAGAAATGTTCTAGATACAATCTTAATAATTATAGCTGCTTGCAAGGTAAAAAAATTTTAAATTAATATTCTATTTAATTTTTAACAGCTAATGAAAATTTCTAACAAATAAAGGGAAAAAATGTTACATAACAGGATATTTCAAACATATTATAACAGGAATGCACAAGCATGCCTTATAGCTAAATTAATCATAAAACAATTTGCTTTTTCATTTTAAAAAGGAATCTTTATTATTTGTTCAAATACCTGACCAACAATTCATTTAGGTTTTAAATAAAAATACAAGTATGTAATTTCAAATAGTAAAATTATGCACAGAACTTAATAGACCAACTATTCCATATACGTGTAAGTTTGTATAGAAAAATTGCAAAAAGAAATTATTTATTAATTTTTTGTTGTTGAATAATATAGAAGAAAACTGGTTTCTCAGCAGGAAAAACAGTTTAAGGTTGTTTTTAGGTGCAACTAAAGTTTAGATTGTTCAAGGTCCTTTACAGCAGAAGATAGATTATACTTCTTCCTTGATCGATGATTTAAGAACACTATTTTTTTTCCATTTGTATTAAACACAGCAAAATTTGAAAAAGTTAATAAGAGAATCCTTAAGTTAGGATATTTTTTATTTTTATATTTTATATCCGTCGGTGAACAGCCGACCCAATTTTGAGTTTACGACTACTAATGTTCAACTCTGTAGCCTTATAATTTTGAACCAATCCAAAAGACAAGGAATCTTTTGGATCAGTACCCCCAGGGATATTGATTTGTTATGGGAACATGGAGGACCTTGCGCCTACACAGATTTAACATGCATCAGTCGCCATTTACTACATAGGGAATGTTCTGCGGCAGGGATCGAACTCACAAACTCTTGGACATGGGCCCAGTGCCCTACTCACTAGGCTATCTTGGTCCAAGTAAGGATATTTACTCACAAAGATAGTAGGAGTTGTATTAAGGTATTTTTTATTATAGAACTTTGCCCTAACATAATCCTACAAGAGCTTTTAATGGCACATTTTCCTTATATATGCTATTTGAAAAATAGAGATTTTAATATGTAAATGGCAGTGATTTAACAAAAATGATTTACATTTAAAAGCGTGTTCAGTTTAACCATATTTTAATAGCCTGCTAGTTACATTAACACACATTTTAGTAAAACATTCAGTTAGTTTTCTTATGTATGCTGTTTAGAAGAATTTCTGTCAACACTAGACAAAAATAGAAAATTAGAGAAAAATCAAGAAAATAATCATCGGAATTTGGGCTTCCATTCATGATATAGTTTTTTAAAACTGGAATTATATTATATAGTGGTGATAGGAAAAGGTTTTACTAAAGGTTATGAAGTTTGATGCAAACAATTGCTTTGATACTTTAAATAATCAACATGATATTGAAGAAATAATAAGTTTACCAAAAAATGATGATGATGGTGATCTCCAACATTTATATAGTAATCTATATTTAATTGATTAATCACAATGGGTGAAGTTAATCCTTTGAAAAATATAGATTATTTTCTTGAAAATAGAAAGTCGAATCATTAAAACAAAGTTATTGTGGGATGAAATTTCTTTTTCTAGTTACTTACTCAACACAGAACTTTTTATTTTTAAATTTTTTTTTCTTACAGTATATAAAAAAGTTACACAAATAAATAAAACTTACAATTAATAAAAAACTGCAAAATTGAAGAAAAGAAAACCCAGTGGAAACATGTCGCTCTTCCAAGTACCCCTTCACTACACTCCTGACATGTACATAAGGACTTGAGATTAAAGCAATAGAAGTGACATGAGAATTAAAAAGCTCATTTATCATAATATTTACATTACATCCCAGGGTGGGCCATAAGATCTTCTGTTAAAGATTTTTCCAGAACAATTAATTTGAATTGTCAGTTTTTTACACCAATCACTCTAAAGTCTGATGACGCAGAATCAAGCTGTTTTTAATTTGGCCTTCCTCTTTTCCGAAAAGCTAAAGGATTAAAATCAATAATATTTACTAAATTTTTTTCATTCATTTCAACAATGTGAGCAGCTTAGTACATTTTTTTATTTGAAATATCAATTCTTTTTAAAAGTTGTATAATTTTATAAAGTCTTTTTTTATTTAATTTAATTTTAGGAGCTTTCTTTTACTGGAGATTAAAGATACATATTTTAAGATGTTTCAACAAAAAACAAGGTACAAACATAGAAAATAATACAATGTGAACTTATTTCATAATTAATAAATTAGATATACCTACTTAATAAAAAATAAATAAATAAGTAAATAAAAATCTATTAACACTAAATATTTAAAATTATTAAAAACTCAGTATCTTACTTTAGGACAATGCAACTCAGAAGACATGAATGGCCAAAAAGCAATAGCCCAAAGAATGAAAGACAGTATTTCTCTTTTGAAGAAAGAAATAACCTAGATGAATCAATGAATTAATTTATGATTAGTGTTAAAGTAATTTATGGATACCAAATTTTACGACAATGCCTAATAACTATGTATTAGATTCAAGTAAAGAGAAATTATTAGTGACAAGCAACTAAAACATTGCACAATGTGAATAAAATGTCATAAAATTAATAAAGTCCTACCACAACACATGTGAAACTTTGGCAAGCAATAATAACAGCAAATATAAATACTGTGTTCAAAAAAAAAAAAAAANAAAAAAAAAAAAAAAAAAAAAAAAAAAAAAAAAAAAAAATCCGCAATGAAAGGAATATAAAAATATATTACAGTTAATTGTGTATTTTTTTCATAATTACAATAACAAAAATATAATACTTTTGCAGTGCAGTGATTCTACAAAAATATAACAATAGAAAACTAATTCATCAAAAGGAAAAAAGTATCATAAATTCTTCCTAATCAGCATTCGAGCAGAATATTTAGCAAAATTTAAACACATCCAATGGGATATCTTTTTGCATCACATCAAGACTTAAATACTTTCTATACTAAATTTTTCTTCCTCTTCATACATAATATTGTCTTCACTATAGTAAAGGTGCCTTAGTAAAGATATAGATCACCTTTAAAAGTGTGCAAAGTATGGTAAGCCTTTTTTAATGTCGCTTATCAATGGGTCATACATAACAAAATAAGTGGTATATTAAAAGGAAAATTTCAAAATAACAGCTATCCAAGTAAAATGAAATTCAAACCAAAAACAATAATTGAAGTAGTAATTCAGTTTCAAATTCTTGAGAAAGTTCAACCCAAAAGTAAATTATATTATGTAACTTATTTGAATTAAACATTAAAATCATTTTTATTAAGATTTTATAAGATAATGATTTTAATGAAATTTGATAATATATTATTGGAGATAAAAATAATGAAAACAATATAAATAAATAAAGTCAAATTTTTAAGCATATATAGGCTTTTCTCAACAAGCTGTAATGATGAGAACATAATTAAATTTATATGACAATCATAGTGTCATTTCATTTAAAAAGTATTTCCTATAAATATGAAATCATCTATAAATATAAATAGAGAAATAATTTTTAATAAGAAATAATTTTAATAATTTTTAATTAAGAAATAATTTTTGTACATAATAATACGCATATCTATAATACTAATAAGAATACTTCTAAAAGTGAATTCTTACCAAAAATTCCATTCCAATTAAGCTGATAATTAAAAAGCCAATGAATTTGTAGAATGTATTTCGACGTTCAAGATGCAATCTGGCAGAGTAAAATATTTCCAAGCTGCAAAATAATCGATTTATTTTGTACAAAATGAACAATATTTTAACATTAGTTTAAATAAGTAGCATTTCTTTTATAATGTTACTTTAAAAAAAATACTGCAGACAAGCACAAGCAACATAAATTATCATAAATTGAAAATTTAAATTAAGTGGAAAGCTACCACAAATAAAAATATTCAGGAAGATTTTTTTAACAAGTAAAGGTACTATATATGTTTGTAAAAAGGTTATATTTTAATGGTAAATTGAATGCTACCTTTTCACCTTGAAGTGAATAAAACATTAACTTCGATGAATAGGTAATATTTAATAAATAGCTGCTATTTTATATACAAGAAGTCTTTTTTTTCTTTTGCAAAGATTATTGATAAAACAAAGATCTATTAAGTTTAGGTGGAAAGATCTAATCCATTGCATATTTAGGCTCACTTTTAAAGTAAATAGAGGTTCTACAGGGTGTTCTAAATTAGCCTGACGGATTCAAAAACTTTACAAACAATCAAAAAATTTAAAAAATAGCAATTTTTGCAGCAGATTCAAAGCACATTAAATTTTTTTCTGCTTACAGAAATACTTGTTTTAGTTCAAACTTTTTTAACAGATGAGAGTATACATACAAAACTTTTAAATTAAGAAGAGAAAAATTGAAAATCACATCATTTCTGAAACCTTTTAATGAATAAAAATTTATTTATAATATATTTGAAATGCCTCTTATTAACTGGATATAAAAGTCCTTAATTGGAGAACCAAATTAAAAAGCAATCAAATTAAAGAGATTGCAGTTTCATCTGATAGAAAATTTTTGAACTTAAACTACAACTCTAGATAAAAAAATTAAAAAAATCATGTCCCGTAACTTTAATTTTTTTTAAAAGTCAAGGCTGCTTTAACATTATATATTTTTTGAAAGCTGCCAGTCTAATTAAGGATAGCTCGCACATAAATCAACACCATAAAACAAACATCTATTATAAAAACACATTTTGGAAATGAAACTTACTTCAAATTGACCATAAGCCAGATGAAAACAGGAATCAAGAAATAAATGTAGTACATGAAAGGAGAATTTTGAACTAAAAAAAGTACAATAAAGCAATTAAAGTACAAAAAATAATATCATATGGATAATAATAAAGAAGTGTTTCATTAGTTTAGGTAAACTATATATACTAACTAAATAAATAGCTAAAATATTTTCATATTTTGAAACAAATTTCTATAAAAAAAAACTTGTAGGTGTAGTTTATAATGAATTTTTAATCATTGTTGAAAAGAGAAAAAAATCATCAACCTTTAAAAACAGTTTTTGAAAACAAGAATATATTTATATTTAAATAATTTGTACATTTAAAATTTTTGTTTAACTTAAATATTATAAATTTTAATTGACTATTAAGAAAAAGAATCAAATATCATTTGTTTTATTAATATTTCAAGACCACTAATTATAAAAAAAATCAAGTTTTTTAAAAAATGTATATTTTTATCAGCATAATAAAGACAGCTATTATATCTATGTAATTTCAACCATTTTTTTAAAATAACAATAAGCACGAAAAATTCATACCATACAGGAGGAAAAATATGAGAAATCCTATAAAACCATATGATAGAACACATTTGACAGTAAAGAAGTTTTCTTCCTCGTTTATAATACTTGATTCAATGGATTTGTGACCAAAGTTTGTATAATCTCTCATTAGCAGCACGATGACATAACTCATCCATCCAATAAAGCCAAGAAATATACTTATGCTAGAAGAAAAGATGTTATTTAGAAAACAGTCATTGAACTTTTGCTAGAATAACAAGTAGACCAGAAGTGTAAGTAAATGGTTAGAGAATACATTTTAAAATGTAAGGACATTAAGAGCGTTTTTTGTTTAATAAGTTTTGTTTAATACGTCAGTTTTAACCACTGGAGAGATGACTGGAGGTCTAGTTACAAGGGAAGACAAACCTATAAATTCTTTAAAGACCCTAGCATAAAGCACCTGCAGGCCAATTTTTACTTAAACCAGCTCCTTACTGGTCATGGACCTATCAACAAAAATATTTTAGGAAATCAGCTTCATGCAATAACTGTGGAGTGAGACAGGACATTAAACATCTAATTAAGCACTATCCAGGCACTTTGTGGAACCAGCATGAATAACTACGAAGAGGAACACCAATTCTTTGCTATATTGGGTTGCAGGAAAATTGTGATTCAAATTAATAAGACAAACCCTCGAGGACATTTTAGCCCCAGATCAATTGACCCCAGTCATGAACCCCAACAATAGAAGATGTCATCATCATTTTATACTGATCAACTTTTAGCCTACATTTTGAAATTTTATCTACTTGTGATTCTAGACTTCATCGACTACTATTCAGACTTTTACTTTTAGACATTTACAGATAGGACTTTTAGTTCTCATTGATTTTAGTTTTGAGATTTTATTTTCATCTCTTGTTTCCTTATTATTATAATCATTTAATTCTCGACATTTACACCGGCGCTTTTAGCTTTTATTGCTTTGAAAACACGTTTTTAATTGTCAATATTTTTAGTTAATTCACTTTTAACTGATCACTACCACTGTCATTTGGCAAAATTTTACTGTATTTTTAGTTTTTAGGGTAATTTTTTAATGTAATAATTTTACTTTTTATCTCCGTATATCTCCCTGGAGTGGGTTGGAGTTCTACCTATCTTAATATGTTTTATAATGAGAATTTATCATATTATCATACAAGGTATGTTCAAAAAGTTTGGTGAATGGCTCCATAGTAGAATAAGCAAGCTGGCTAGGATGTTGTGCACATGCATTATGAGACACGACAACTAGGACTACCATCGTTAAAATTATAATAGCCAAGTGAAATAAAGTTATTTTCAAATTAAATAAAACAGCAACAAAAATGAGTGGAATGTTACTTAAAGGGTACAGCACAGAAGTAATGAGTAAAAAGCGTGTTTTGGAGTGGTTTAAATGTAAAAGTGCTCTGAGAGATATCAAAAGCACTTGCTGATAGTTTCCAGGTTAACCAATGTTTGCTGTAGCTAATGATCCATCCTTAGTAAGCATGCACTTTTAAGCTTTTTGTAGCTTAGAAAGCATGCACTGTTAAATTAATTTTAAGTAGTTTTAGTTACCTAAATAGATTTAAACAAATTATATACATAATGTAAAATAAGGTAATCTGTAAACTTTACTTATAAACACATATATGGTTGATTTCAATATTTAACTTGGCATATGCTACCAACTAATAATAGTATCTTATAAATAGTATCTTTGACAGCCCATTCATTCTGTAGAAGAATTAATTCACTTCAAAGTTAATATCATCATTGTCACATGCTAAATTAGTTTTCAATTTTTACATTTTTAATGAATTTTTATATTCTTTAAAAAGTGAATTTCTGATAAAGATGATATAGCTTATAAATGAAGCTATTAAAATGTCAGCATAACCCATTTATAAACAGTAAAGTATAGTAAAATCTCATAAAATGCTTTTTTAAAATGTCTTAATTCTGAACCTAAAAGCAAAAGTTTAAAATGATTATAATTTCACACCATTTGGGTATGGATTCAAAAATTATAGTAATGAAAAATTATATTTAGTAGTAATAAATAGCAAAATAAATTAGACGTAAAATTTAGTAGTAAAGTAATAATAAAATTTAGTAATAATAAAAATTAAAATAAACAAACAAAAGAGATTAGTTTCCAAAGCATATTTTGTGATAACTATAAAAAACTTCACCTTTTTTTTTATAATTTAAAAAGCGTTAAAATATACTGAATCTTTTTTAAAAATATGAATTAGAGAATTCTCTAAATAATACTTAATATTAACTTCAAAAATATTCAAGTAACAAAAATTTTAATTTTTCGCAGAAAAAATGAAAAATAAATGCTAATGCCTTTCCATAATTTTCTGTAGATTAAGCAATAAGAATAAAATAAGTACTTACCAGAGTGCTATTCTGTCATGTCTTTGGTAATAATTTAACCCTTTTAGAGCCAATTCAATTAATTTTAAACCCACTTGAATCTGAGGAAGAAATAAATAAAATTATTTATTTGAATTATGCTAAGTCTCTGTTGTGAAGTAAAGCTTGTGCACAGTGTGCAAAATAAAAAAGATAACTTTAATATCTTTTGATTGGATTTTTATTTACTAAGATATAAATCTTAATTGTTAGAGAAACTAACCTTAAGTATGATAAAATATTTGTATACATGATATTTTAAGATAAGAAATCAGACAAAAAAAAAAAAACATGTATAAATTCAAATTCTTAAGTCAAAATTATTAAACAGGAGGTAGGAAAAATAAATAACCATTACTACACTAATTCAAATTAGAACAGCGCACAAGGCAACTAAAACCAAATTCAAATTATATAAACTAGTAGCAATATAAAATTACTTAAAAATGATTTAAAATTTTTTTTAAAAAAATATTGTAAAAATAATATTAAAATAAAATTAATATTAAAAATCCCCTGATGAAGTGCTGCTCTGTGAACACACAATTTTATTTATCTCAAATCTTATAGATCTCAAAAATATACGCCTACGCGTTTTACCCTTATCTCACCCCCACTCCACTTTGCATCTCTGTCAGAGAGGCAAGCATTCGTTCACTCAAGAAATTCGAACAAGGAAGTTCACTTGTCAGCTCTCTCCTGAGCTACCTTTCATTGTTTACGTCTACTGCAGCGCAGTAGTCATAATAATTTTCTTCGTGTACATAGTTAATTTGTTTTATTAAGTTTTGTTTAATAAATGTTAAATCAAACCACTACAGTCCACTTTCTATTACATACAATGCACAACATGCTTTCTCTAAATATAGATATTTTTTATTCCATGAATTTGGATTATATCTTAATGTGTGAAAATATAATTATTAAATCAATAGTTCATTTTAAAAGAAAATTTGTTAAGTAATATCCTTAACAAATTAAGTTAAAAGTTATTACTTACTTAAAAGTATGCCTTTTTTATTGAATTAATTAAATGTACCTCCTCATAAAGGAAAAAGTAAAGTTAAATTAGGATAAAAAGATTATTTGTAACATTTCCTGGAATTACACAAATACAAGATAATAAGTTTCAACACTAGCTAGAAAAAAGATTAAGCTAGAAAAGGATATGTAAATTATTTTGCAATTATGCAAAAAGTATTAGATAATTATCAAGTTAAAAACTAAAAAGTAATCTTTCCCTCCTCAATTAGATATTAGAATTTACTAAGTTAAGTTAATCATCAGTAAAAATAAACGGTATAAGCAAATGAGAATTTAGAAAAAATAGATAATTAATCTTGCAATAATGAATGGTATTAGATAACGGAAAGTTAAACCACGTCAATAAAATGCTTTGGCTTGTTTGTTAAAACTAATAAAATATAAATACTGAAAAAAAAAACTAATGTGAAAAATTAAGTGAAAATGACATAGTTCTACTTTAAGAAATAAAGCTTACAACATCCTTATATCGATTTTGCTTCAAAAGAGTGTCCACCATTGCCATAAGTTCTCCCTATAAGAATAAAAAATAAAGGTTTATATAATAGTATAATAAAAATAAAAATGAGATATCTTTATGGAAATAGTTACCTGACGAGCAGTCGAAAGATCTCTAAAAGAAAAATTTAATCATTTATTAGTAAATAATGAAATCATAAGAATGAAAATTAATAACTTATAATAATAATTTATAAAAAAAAATATTAAATAATTAAAAAAATAAAAATAAAAAAAAAATGTTTTTTAAACAGAGATATTAACAGATATGAATAATATACATGAAAGCGCAAGGATTTTTCATAGAAATATTTTTAGTACTACTCATTATATATAAAGCGGCTGAAATTGCATTTGATTTTTAGGTATTGAAAATTGAATGAGCAGCTGAGTTTTAAGAAAATATTTGTTGAATGTTTGCATTGAAATGTTTCTGAGTAACTTAAATTTTAGATATACAAGGAAATCCAAGGTTGAGGTAAGTTTCATAAAAATTAAAACGCTTTTTAAAAAAATCAGTGATATTTGTTAAACTTAGTTGGGGTTGAAATTAGTTACAAGAGTCAATTAATTGTTTTCAGAAGGTTTTTTTAAAATTTAGATTTTGTGCTCGCAGAAAATTTATTATTTTATCTAAGCCTGGATATCAATATTGATGGAAATTAAAAACAGTAAAACATCCAATTAATTTGCTTGAAGTAAGTATAATTACTAGGTTGAAATTGGGTATTTTTTTTATTTGATTAAAATTATAACGCTCCTTCTATCAAAATTCATAATAAAAACCAGAGTTTCAGTTAGAATATTTATGAAAAAATTAATAAATAATAATAAAAAAATGCTAAAATGAACAAGACATTTTTGCTTTTTAGCTAGAGCATTTCACTAGATTCCATTTAAAAAAAAAAGAAAAATTATGAAAAGAATCACATTACACCTTTCGTAAAATTCTCATGCCTGTTAAGCAGACATGGAGGAATGCTAATTAAATTATAGAAATAACGAGAATTCTTTGTCATAAACAAAAAACGAAATTAGCAAGAAAAAATATAAAAATTCTAAATTCTACACATCAAGAAAGCTTGTTAAAATTTCAAAATTTATTTACAAACACAGTGTATATAATACAATTCTATAATAAACTACATTTTCCCATAAAGTGCATAATTTTGCATGTGTAAACAATAAGAATTGCAGTTAAGAAGTTTCTATAACTGAGCAAAAACTAACTTTTAACATTATTTACTAATAGTTAACAATTTCAAAAATCTAAGCAGATTAAAATTGATAAATATTTTTGTTATTAGTTATAATGCTCTAGAAAATTAAAATTTTTTTTCTCCCTAAACAATAAATACTTAATTTTGTGTTTTTAAGTATTCGTAACTAAATATTATTTAAAAGCCTTTTAAGATTGATCTGTTCAAAACAAATATTAGCATGTTTAGTAGGTAAGTTTAAAGATATGTGAAAAAATGATCCGTATATAACACAAAACTCTATGCAAAACTTCACATTTTAAGGTTTGCGTTATGGAACTTAAAAGTCTTTTAAATAAAACATGCAGCTTTCACGTTTTAAGGTTTGTCTTATAAAACTTAAAAGGTTTTTAAATAAAACGTGAAGCTTAGTGCTATAAAGATCTCCTACTGTAAAAATTTAAAAAAAAAATAATTACAGAATAGCATGTTTATAAGCCTTATAGTATTTGAACAGTTTGCAAAACTTATCTGTTTTGAGGTATCATAAAAATTTATAGTCACAGTATCTATAATATTATTACTAATACTAAGCATCACCAGCATCAATATTTGTTATGATTTTCTTATGACCCCCAAAACATCTAAGTATCTATTTTGATCAAGAACTTTTAAACTTAGATAACAACTCACTTAAAGCTCCAAAAGAATAATGGTATTGTATTTTCTTTCTTCAACTGCATCTGTCTTTGATAATTGGCAAGAATTTGACGAGCATTTGTTAACAAAGAGAGGGCTTTATGAGGCCACTCTGTGTCTAAATATTCAACAGGTAAGATTCCCTAAAAGTACAAAACAGGCATAAGAAAACAATCAAAATACAGAAAGAAAAGAAGATTGTAAAACAATTGAAATTCATAAATGTTTGTATTCATAAATGATGAAACAGACAGGGCAGAAACTTTCATTGCTTAAAAATAAATATTCATGAATTATAATTGGGAAAATTTTGATCATTTCAGATTAAGAATAAAAATAATTCAATACAATTCTGTTATGAGCTATCCATCATCAAGTTTGTATAGATTTTTTTTAATGGTACAGAAAAAGCTCAGATTTTAGATTAGAAATCTAAAAATAATAATTTAAAATAAAAGAAACATATTTAAAATGCTTTTTAAACAAANTTAGCATGTTTAGTAGGTAAGTTTAAAGATATGTGAAAAAATGATCTGTATATAACACAAAACTTTATGCAAAGCTTCACATTTTAAGGTTTGCATTATGAAACTTAAAAGTCTTTTAAATAAAACGTGAAGCTTTGTGTTATAAAGATCTCCTACTGTAAAAATTAAAAAAAAAAAAATTCTAGAATAGTATATGAATTTATATTCATAAGCCTTATAGTATTTGAACAGTTTGCAAAACTTATCTGTTTTGAGGTATCATAAAAATTTATAGTCACAGTATCTATAATATTATTACTAATACTAAGCATCACCAGCATCAATATTTGTTATGATTTTCTTATGACCCCCAAAACATCTAAGTATCTATTTTGATCAAGAACTTTTAAACTTAGATAACAACTCACTTAAAGCTCCAAAAGAATAATGGTATTGTATTTTCTTTCTTCAACTGCATCTGTCTTTGATAATTAGCAAGAATTTGACGAGCATTTGTTAATAAAGAGAGGGCTTTATGAGGCCACTCTGTGTCTAAATATTCAACAGGTAAGATTCCCTAAAAGCATAAAACAGACATAAGAAAACAATTGAAATTCATAAATGTTTGTATTCATAAATGATGAAACAGACAGGGCAGAAACTTTCAATGCTTAAAAATAAATATTCATGAATAACGATTGGGAAAATTTTGATCATTTCAGATTAAGAATAAAAATATTTCAATACAATTCTGTTATGAGCAATCCATCATCAAGTTTGTATAGACTTTTTTTAATGATACAGAAAAAGCTCAGATTTTAATTCTTTTAAAAATCTAAAAACAATAATTTAAAATAAAAGAAACATATTTAAAATGCTTTTTAAACAAAGACGTTGAACCAATAAATGCAATAATCATGGGTTCGTCTAGGTTTTTCTGTGAGGTACCTATTTTGTGAAAATTTATACATAATTTGTGAAAATTAAAAATCATATTAAAAAATCGACACAAAAATATGGTTAAAACATTGATTTATCATTTCTTACGAGACACAAAAATAAAATTTGAAGAAAAAGTATTTTGTGAAACTACCGTTTTTTCCTAAAGTTGAATTTGTGAAGGTACCTCTAAATGGTAGTAAATTTGGCTTGGACAGACCCCTGATAATAAAGTACTAGCTTAGTTGTACAACTACTTTATTTTAAGAATATGAACTTATGTAAATTGAGTCAAAATTCTAAATCAAATAAAATCTGAAATGTTTCTCTGAAATAGAGACAAATATTAGATTCTCAATTCAGTTAAATTTACATGTCTAATCAATTAGTAAATTAAATAGCAATATGAAAAAAAATTTTTTTTTTTGTTGATCAAGTATTTTTAAGACTAACACAAACTGCAAGAGTATTTAATAAAAATAATAACTCACCAATGAGTTAATAGGGAAAGGAATTCCAATTAAAGTGGAAATCAAAGGAGCAATATCCACTTGATTGATATCGATTCTTTTAATCTGGGCAAGTTTCCATTCTGAAATAGGGGACATAAAATTTTGTTCTACATTTTAATTTAACAATCAAAACAAGTAATGTAATTGAAAATTTTCACTCTTAACTACTATAACATGCACATACACATTAAAGTACATAAACATCTAAATTAGCTACTTTTTCAATTACGCTCCTTAACCGCTATTGCGCAAAAGAGCATGTGGAAGTGTAACATCTGTAAAATGATATGTCAAAGATGTGAATCGAACATATCTGTTAATATAGATATGTTCCATAAAAAAATTTCATTTTAAAACTTGACGTCATATTTTTTTAATGATAAATCGTCATATGAAAAAAAATTTTATTGCTTATTTTTAAATTATGATCAACTATTTAACAAAAATGCACTTTTAATTTTACTCGCAATTAAAAAGAAAAAAAACTGATAGACAGCATTAAATATTTTATGTGATATAAATTTTGTTACTTTAGAAGTCATAGTGTCGAAAAAAATATAGTTATGAAAATCATGAATATCAGGATAAAAAGCAATAAATCAGGACAATTAAGGAAAAAATATTTTTCATCAGGACAGCTACAAAGCCTACAATATGACAGTTTACAAAAGAAGAACTCTAATTCGATCTTCGTGAGCAGTCATTCAAATCCAAACCTGTTATAATTCAGGAAATTGTATATCCAACTTTAACTTAAATTGTGTTATAATGGGTTTATTATGGGTTATCCATGTGGAATTCATGAGAATTATGACAATGCGAAAAAATAAAAGCTTAGTTACTTTCAATCAAGCAGTTCAATAAAAAAAATTTCTGGGCCAAATAATAATTGAGAAATATCAAATACATTATTGTTAAACTTATAGTTAACTTAAATATGTCAAAATTAAATATAACAGAGTGAAGGTGCAATATTATCAACCTTCAGACAATCCATCATGATAAATATCTTTGCCTTCACCCATAGGACCTCTGATTCCAGATCCCCATGCAACAAAAGGTGTGTAGGTTTCTTGAGTATCACCTGAACCATGAGAACCTGAAAAATATCAAAATAAGTTACAAAACAATTATAACATCGAGAAATACTTGTAACAATGCTACAGGGAAGAAACAGCTATCAATACCAATTAAATAAGAACAATGTTGAATTCATTAATTTATTACAAAGTTTTATTTTTCTATCAAACTAAACACTTAAAATAATACTAAATTTTAAAGCAAAAAATAGCGTGAATAAAGCACAAATGAAAGTATGTAAATTGGAAATAGCAAAGTTGCATTTGACATTTAGGTACTGAGGAAGGTTCTTGTTTATCGAACTGAAACTATAGTATTGTCAATTTATGTACTTTTATTTGTGCTTCATCCATATGGTTTTTAATTTAGTCTACATAGCACAAAGCATGCCCTTTCCTGCGTTGAATACTTAATTATGTTAAATGAAAATAATTTCAAGGTAAAAACTAGTAACATTTTTTAAACAAGAACAATATTTCATATTTCGAACAGCAGTTCCAAAATTCCAAATTAATTATTAATTATAAATGAACAGATAGATAACAATTTGATCATGATCAGAAACTTCATGCTTCAGGAGCCCGAAACATGTTGACCATTCTTCCGTTTTAATTATTTTAATTTTCAAGTACATAATATCGCTTCAGCGTTCTTAGAATTATTAATTGCAGGTATAATACTGTTTAATGCTCATATGATAATAATACTATTTAATTTGACGTTTTAATTGAACAGTATTATTATTTCTACAAATTTGTTAAAAACCATTTATTATATCTTTGCACTTTCTGTTTACAGAAAACTAACAAGGGATATACAATTATTAATTTTAATAAAATAAATCAGAAAACAAAAAAGTAAAAGATAATTTGTATATATATATGAGGTAATAAATAAGGAACGAAAAACGGAAATTTAAGAAGATTTATTTATATACATATTGGCATATTTAAAGTTTAAAAGTTAGTGACTGTTTTTAAATGGCTGAACAGGTTTTCTTTATTATAATGCTCAATTCTAAGAAATTATTCATCAGAAAAATTTTATACAACATAAATAACTTAGAGAAATATTATATAACTTACCCCAATCAGTCATTCCATGATCTGATGTGAACACATAAGCAGTTTTGCCATCATTAAAATAGCTGTCAATCAAACCGACACATTTTTCAATCCCAGAATCCACTACTTTAATATTTCTTATATATTCTCTATAAAAAATAAATAAATAATACAACTTCAAATTTTTTTAGATTCCTTATTCATTTAGACAATGCATAGTTTGTAATGAAGAAAATATGAAAATGATAGTAGAGTAGAAGTAATTTCTACATAAATTTAGAGAAACACAATTAACAACAACAAAAAGTATAATAAAATAAGCATCTTCCTAAAAATATATGCTTTATTTTTAGTGCAACATTAACATACACTGCAAAATTAAAAGTATCACTATATTGCAAGAAATAATCAGTTTTTTTTAATAAATATTAGGACAAAGAAATAACTTTATATACAAATAATAATAATTGTATTCAATCCCAGTTAACTACCATTAAAGCAATTTTATTTGCTAAGATTTCAAAACAAAAATTTTTCAGTAGTTTGATTTTCTCAACTGATGACAATTTAAAAATTTTTTAGAAATATATTGCTTTAAATTTTAGAATTATCAAGAAATTTTAAAACTGAAACAATATATTTCAGTTACAGAAATTTATAACTGTGAGAGCAAATTTTACAGTTGGGCAAGACTCAAAAGTTTACTTAAAGGTGGTATTAGTACAGATTTTTTTCCGCACATATGGTTAATTTTTGAGTGATTAGATCATTTTATAACATCATAAAAACAACAATTTAAACAACCGAGTTGTAGTTGATGCTCAACATAACAATCCCTTTACCTCCAAACAGACGTTTCATAATAATGAGGGGTCATTGTATAGTAAATGAAAGAAAAAAAAAAGATAAATATTTTCTCATAAAAGTAAATTAACAGTTAAACAAAATATAATGCACAGCTATTAATTTCCAGGACTGGTGGACCGGTTTAGTAACTCCTGAAAACGTTAAATAACATACCCATTTAATAAGTTTTCAAAGTAATCTTTAGCTGTCTTAGAAAATCTTCATTCTTAAACTTTTTTTTTCTTCTTTTTTTTGCTTATTTTTAGTTTTGGGGGTAATGAAAATGAAACATTTCCCACTTTAAAAAATTTCTGGTACGCTTTTTCTTCTTTTAACTTCCGAAACTGGAAAATTTATAGACAGAACAAGGTTTAAAGATATTGAAAGCATTAAGGGAACCCCAATGAAAGAGCTGAAGAGCATTTTGAAACAGAACCTTAAATAGAAGTGCATTACAGCAGGTGGAGGTTACTTCAAAACAATTTAAATGGAAATGTAATTTAAATAATATTTTCAAGAGCTGTCTGATTAGTTTTGAAAGTAAATAGCAGCACCATGTGATAAAAATGTATGTAACTGACAAATAAGTTGAAAAAGGAAAATGAGGTAGCTTTGCTTCAAACTTACTGGGAACCAGGCTTATATGAATGACCGCTAATATCCATTCCCAGCAGATGCAAGAAAAAGATAATTTTATCTTGAGCCAACATACTTCTCAATGCTGAATCAGTTTTTGACTTTTCCAAAAATTCCTAAACAAAGAAGACACACATTTTATAATATTGTCTTTCTGACAAAAGTGCATAGCAATAATGACAAAAATAGTGACTTAAAATTTATAATAGGAAGAACAGGTGGTTCAGATTTGTCAGAAAAATTATAATTATTATGTTAGAGAGAGAGAGAGAGTATACCAGACACTCTTTGAATTTCCAGCTGCAGAGTGCTTTTAAAGAAAGCATCCATCCAAAATTTACATAAATTTTTCAAATTCTAAAGTATAACATAATAACATTAATTTCAAATATTAATAAAAGTTACATTAATAAAAATATAACATTAATTTCAGATTCAAGTTACTTTTAGTTTCATTCTATAAGTAAATACAATTTTTTTTTCTTTCCTCCAAATTAAATAATAATTTCTTAATTTTCACTTTTCAAAATGTAATTTTAAATTAAAAGCTTTATAATCATATTGTTTTCCTTTATTTTATCAGTATATAATTTGTTAATAATGCTTTATTTTTAGTTAAAAAAATTTCTAAAATATAAAATTGTTTTACTTTTAATTAGAATGAAATAATGTAGGCTAGTTAGATGAACATTGATTTTTTGAAATTAATTATTAAATTAGTTTTTTTTTTTATCTATTGGGTTTTCTTTTATTGTTTTGTGATTGTGTTTTTTTCTGTCTTAATTTTCCTTGCTTGTAATTTTCTCAATACTTAACTTAAATTTATGTCAAATTTGAATAAAATTAGAAATTATAATATTGCTTATAACCTCTCCTATCGATAAATTAAAATCATAAATATATGGAAAAAAATGTTTTTAAAAAAATTTCAATATATTGTTTTTTTTTTTAATTATCATTATTTCAGTTTTAAATTTTAGCGATTACATTTATATTTGAGTTAGTTTATTTTTGCTTTCTAAAAGTTTTTATTTCAAATGTAATATTTTTAAAATTTTTTAAAATATTAACAAAGTAAAAATTATAACACATAAATTAATATTAATATAAATGATTTAGTTTTTTTTCTATTATCCTATAAAAATTTTGAAATTTTTTAAAAGCTTCAAATTTTGACTTTATTTTTAAGACATTACTTTTTAAGACCTTCATCACATAAATTTTAATTTTTAAGTTTTATTTATTCAATAAGTTTCAGAATAAATTTTTTTGGGTTATATATTAGGTGTACTGGAAATTAATAAATTTATTACATTAAATTGTACAATATATTTTAAATAGTTTTTTTGTTTTAATCAATGATAGAAATGTCCACATTATCAGAAATCTTTGGCTTACCCAGCCTACAAAATTTAAATGTTGGATTGATGAAAATAATTTGTATTCTTGAGCAAAATATTAGGAACAGGTATTTTTGAAATGTTACAGTGATCAGAATACATGGAAATTTGATTGTGTAAAGTCGGTTAATTATGATGGGTGATTAAAATAGTCCTACCTTTATTCAATTTTACATGATTATTCAAACAATCAATGAAAAATTTATGAATGGGGGTGGATTAATGAAAGAAAGAAATGTACTAATGTTTATCATATAAATTTAGCAGTGAATTCACATAATCAAGTAAGAACATCTGTATACATCTGATTAATCCAATATGCATACTTTTGAGCAATATTAAGTTCTTTGCAATATTTTGTTCATGTCTTGTATGTTGCCGTACTAAAATATGAAGCAAAACAAAATGATATAATTTATTATCCAAGTTTTTTGATCCTTATGAAATAAATAAATTTCAAAATATAAATAGGTAAGATTTATAATTGTATGCAAACAATACTTCTTACATTTCAGAATACCAGGCATAAATGATAAGTAGGTAAAAATGTAAATGCATATAGATATCTATTATTTTGATTGCTCTTCTGGAATTTCTTAGGGTAGGACATTTTTTTTTTTTTTTTTTTTNTTTTTTTTTTTTTTTTTTTTTTTTTTTTTTGCTCTATGGAATTTAAATAAAAATACATTATATATGTAGTGTGTACCACATTTTTATAAAAAAAATAAATAAATAAAATTTGTAGATTAACTTATTTTTAAAATTATGAATAAAATTTATTTTACTTTGCATACATTTATTATTATCCTTAAAGTAGGGAGGCGCCAAGAATATTTTTGCTTATAATTGAAAATTAGCACAGACTGGTCCTGATTTGATAACTCTCTGCATAACATTTTTTAGTACTGTTCTAGATGAGATCCTTAGTTATCAACTGTATAAAATTTAGATCAATAACGATAAACAAAATTGCTTAAAACACAACAGGATTTATATATATATATACATGAAGATATATAGATATGATAAAGAAAAGATAAGAAGATATATGTATATATATAGATACATCTGTACACAAACAAATGTAATTGTATTTCATTACTAGATGGCTTCATTTTCAATAAAAAATAAAATAAAAAAACACTTTCAAAACATTTAGTTACCAGTTTACAAACCTCAAGTTTTTTAAAAACCCATTCATCTAGGTGATGTGGAGTTGCAGAAGCAAAATCTTCTTCAGCTGGAGAATACATATCGATGAGAACATTTTTCTTTTTTCCTAAAATAAACAATTTAATTAAAAAATAAAATTAGAAAGAATTTAAGAAGATACAGGTTAGTTTAATTGAAACAAGGAAATTATTAATCTGAAATGAATATTATTTTAAACATTTCTCGTGTTTAAATATAATATTTCAACGAAATTCATATAATTAACTTAAGTTTTGATTGTTCCAGTAATTAATTGAGTTACAGTGAAAAACCATATTTCTGCCTAACTAAAAGCATTTTCAAAACAAATTTATTGATTTAGATGAAATTAGATAGAACCCTCCTTACTCTTTTGTAAAACAGTATTGTAGATTCATCCAGCTTTTATTCAACACATTATATCTGGCCGACTTTGAATGAAATATTTCATATTTATTTTCAACTATTTTTATAAATTACACAGGGTACTTATTTGCTAGTTACCAGATGCAAATTCCGACGTCCAAGTGGCAACCAAATTATAAAAGTTTTAAGAAGGAAGATAAAATTACAACTAAGCTTAATTAATTATCTTAGACCTGCTAGCAACAACCATTATATATCTAGTTTTAAATAATAATCGCCCATTTTAATAATTGATTGATGTAAAAAAAAAAAAAACTTTCATTAGAAGCATTGCCTGAAATTCTACAAACATTTTACACTTCCAATTTCAAAAGAAATTGTTAGGTCATGAATTCAAACCTATGCCATATGATCAAGTCATTGATTTTAATTCACTGATAAAGAGAAATGTACATTTATGCAAGTAAGAATATTAAAATTAAATAAATACAATTATATTTTGAGGATTTTTTTGTATACATACCTTTACTAAACATTGGCAAAATATCTGGACTTCCCCAGGCCCACGTATACCTGCTCTCATTGAAGACTGAGTCGAATTCAACAGGATTTTCCTTCCATCCTTTGGTAACAGCACTGACATCCTCATAAATTCCAGCAATAAGAGCCACATGGCCAGGACGAGATTCGGTTGGAACACGTGTGTGAGATATACCCCAAGCTCCAACATTAGTTATTATTTCTCTGAAACAAAAAAGGATATTTAATAACAAGCATTAAAAAATTTCTTTCTTTCTTGTAGTATGCTTTTGGGTCAAAATAAAAGAGTTTTTTTACGAAATTCTGAAAATCTGGAGAAAAAAAAATACAGTCTTACATTTTTTAAGCTGTAGAAAGCAAAACTTAGCTTTGGATAAAGAGATACCTTTACTTTACTCTTTCAAATGAGATTTATAGTAAATTTTTTAATAAAGAAAATATAAATAACGTGAGGAGCTCATGGTATACACCTTGTTTTCATACATATTATTTATTTTACATTCACCCAACACAAAAATGTCACAGAGTGGGTGGTTTATTACTTAAATTTAAAATTTCAATAGCATCTCTTTTTTTTCACCTTCTACGGTTTTACAACATTATCAAACTTGAAACAATATTGGTTCTATACATTCAGGTCCTAGTTCTGACAGTTTTTCTGTCAGCTTCTTTTAGTAGTTTTTTGTGCTATTTAGGATAGAAAACCTTCTTTCAAATATAGCAGTTGACATGGATACTGTCCTTTATAAAGTGGAGTTTGATGAGGCAACTGATCTATTGGTGTTTCGAGCAGAGGAAAAAAATTTTAATTTTAATGCTGCTTTTTTTTTTTTTTAAAAAAAATTAAAGGATGAAAATATACCTGACTAATTTTTTTAGGAGTACTTTCAATTTTCAATGTGTGATCACATATTTTTTTGATAACAAAAATTTAATATAATTTAAATTTTTGCTAGTAAAAACTTGAATGTAGTTGGCACATACAGGTACCATAACTAAAACTCTACAGTATTATGTATGGAATTAATTTAAAAAAAAGTAAACAGGTCATGCTAACAAGAGGTTACAATTTTTAAGTTCACCCCAATTTAGTATTGTTTATTTGATTATTTTTAATTTCTCATGCTCTACTGACTGGTTCAGTGGTCGGAAGAAGCGCACTACAAGTTTTGAAACTACTGTAGTCATTACCTTTTTTTGTTGTGTAGTGCGATACTTTTTTAAAAAAAGTAGTGTAGTGAGAGGTGCAATACAAAAAACAGTAGTTTTTAGCAATTCCTGGCAACTACTTTTAATGTTAGTTTAGAAAAGAATCACGGTTCTATCATAACAAATGTTTCGAATTTGATGGCTTCGTAGGTACATCAATGAAAATGAACCTGCACTTATGAGCTTCAACAGAAATTACGTTTTTAAAATCACATAACGTATAACTAATATTTAAAGTAGCTTTTACGAAAAATAGATAATTAATAACTTTGGTCACACTTTCACATTCGAATGCACACTCATGTTATTTCAAAGAAACTTAATGTATTTTCGATGTGCACTTAATTTTGAAGGAAATAAAAAAGCATCAAACAATTAAAAAATCCCAATTATTTGATAATTTTGCATTTCTTAAATTATATATTTGTTGTCACAAATAGCATAAGGAGTTGAAGGCTAAATGAAAAAATTTGAAAATTTTTTTTTGGAATAACAAGCTTGTTCTTGTAAGCATCAATAAGTATTTCTTAATTATTCCCTTACATTTAATGTTAGTCAATTTCTTATTCAAAACTATTTTAAACGTAGGTGTAAATTAAGTTCTCCAGCAAAGTTAGTCTCCTTAAAGTAGTTACTAAAATACCAAAAACTTTTTAGTCACTACAATAAAAGAAAAGTAGTTATAATTAACAACCTTTGAAACAGAGTAGTTACAGTAACTACAAAAATAATGTAGTTTTTCCGACTACTGACCTGGAGATTATTTTTGCGCAAGCAACTACTCGGAGACTTTTCCAAATAGAATAGCAAACCTCACATCATTGAAACATGAGGTTTTTAAATCAGATTTATACAAGAGAGTAAAAACATTGTTTATTAAATTTAAATCATGCTTATACAATTAAGCACTATTAAGCAAATGATGTTAAATTAATATGAAGTTTTAGAAAAAGAAACTATATCAACAATTCATTTAATCATTGACACATTTATTTCTACCTTAAAAATGGAGAGTTAGTATCACCAGCATTATTGACTTCAAAAAATTTATCTGCCCTGAGACCGTCAGCAACAAAGAGAACAAGTCTTTTAGCAGGAGGTGAAAGAGGTGTAGAATATGGGGTCATGCCATGGATAATAGGGGATTTAAAATAGATATCAAATACTGAATATAAGAATATAGTATGGAAGACAATTGCTAAAATACCAAAGAGTATCATTTTGATACTATGAAACTAGTTATTCCATAAACATAAAGAAAAATTATTCACACAAAAGTAATTTAAATGTTTTAAGACATAATCTTCGATCAACAAGTCTTTCCTTTCTTTAGATAGATAAATGTTAGTATTTCCAAAAAATTCACGCGTGTTTTCGATTTCTCCAGTTGTCAGCAAGCAGCCGAATTTATTAAATTCATTTCAATTTATAGTTGGCATCCAAAAATTTAAAAAGCAAGGAAACTTTTCGGAAAATTCGCTTGAGGAAAAGGGTAGGAAAATTTTCTAAATTAATATATTTTTCTTACAAAAATATTTTCTTTATAAATAATAAGGAAAAATCAAGAAATGTTTACATTTATGACTTTCGGAAATATAATATTCAGGTTAACATAAGCAAGAAATTTAAACTTCAAAGAATCTCTGAGGCAACCAGAAGTAAGAATCACATTCGTTCGTAATTATCAACTGAAAGAATATTTTGGTTGTGTTTGAGGAGTATTTGATAAAAATTTGCATTTGAAAGTTGTACTATAAAGAACGAAAACTTTTTATACCGTATTAGAATTCAATATCGTCGATCTTAGTATCTGTCAAAATAGGTTAAATAATAACAAAGTTTGTGCTTCATTGAAGACATTTAGTGACCCGCAAATTAATTGATTAATATTTCTTTTAAACATTGTAACTATATATTTCTATTAAGAATGCATTGTATAAAAGACATTAGTGATTTTGAAGCCTTACTTAAATATCCTTTCGAACCCAAGAAAATAATTTATTCCATAAAGAGTGGCTATTTTCACGAAGGGAATAAATATTGCAAAGTTGGAGAGAAGCAACTTTCGATTGATATTGATGATGAGAGTCTACTTCATAGATCGTTCCAAGAATTTCCTTGTGGTAAAGATAGTTGTCGTGCTGTATTTTCCTCTATTCATGATTATGAAATTCATTACAACAGTGTACATCACATTGTGTGTATGGAATGTAAACGGAATTTTCCATCGTATAATTTGCTTGACGCACACATAATTGAAAAACATGATTCTTATCACGAAGCTGCTGCATGCAAAAGTGTTGCTCTGTATGACTGTTTTGTTGAGGGTTGTGACCACAAATTTTCTTCAATTGAAATGCGCAATGAACATATAATTGGAGTGCACAAATACCCACCCGATTTTAAATTCCAATCCTTGAAGAACTCAAAAAGGAATTTCGAAGCTATGGACGTGTCTCAAAGTGATGAACTTGGAACTTCTACTAATACAAAAGCTAAGGCTTCTGGGTCAAAGAAAGTGCCTCATTTCATATGTTTTGGACAGGGTTCTCAAAGAGCTTTTAATAAAAAGAACAAAAAACCTTACGTACGTGATATTTCTATGAAAGAATTAGGAGATGCCTTATAGAATAAATTGAAATGTTAACTGTTTTCTTAAATAAATTTCTGATATATAATTTATTTCTAATTGTTGTATTGTATCATGCTGCGTAGCGTTTTTTAAATGTGCTTATCTTTGATTTACGTTTTTTAAAAGTCCTTAAAGGTTCTTTTTTTTATTCAGGATTTGTAAAAAGTGCTTAATTTTCTATCTTTTTGAAAAAAGATTTTTTGTCGTTCTAATATCTATCTAATATAATATCTATCGTTTCCCTACAATATCTATCAGAAACTATTTATTCTATCGTGATTATGTAAAGTTTTTGGAAACGTTTTGGAATTTTATTTATACTATGTTTATAAATTAAGAACTTTAAATGGTGAGAAAAAAAATTTCTTACTGCACAGATCCTAATTATGATTTTTATTGTTGTTGTTGGAAAGTGCTTGTTTTTTGTTGAAAAATCTGGCTATGCACCCTGTGTATTATTCAACATTATTAAAATTTGAGATACTATTCCATTTTTAAAAAGCCTGAAAAATTGAAAAACTATTATTAATACCGATAATGTTTAATTAAATGTTATAATAGGTACATAATATACTAATTTTGGTATTTTTCGGTTAGCCGGGTGCAAGATAATTCGTATATGTATATATATTTTTTGCTTTTTTTCATTTTATTTTTTGTGAATATTTTTCTTTATTCTGCGTTTAAAAAAATAAATTTAAAAAAAAAGGTAAAATACTAAAAAAAGTTGGTTGACGTCTACATTTTTTGGTGACTTTTAGTTTGCGTCTGGCTAACCGAAAAGTACCTTGATTTTTTTTGCTGTTTATATTTTAAAACTAACTTATTTTCTGATGGGTTTGTCGGGTTATTTTCATCTCAGTAACTGTCCACACCATTGCTAAGACGCTAAAGGAATTTTTACTTGTAAAGTTTAAACATAAAATATGTAATAGTTTGTTTGGGAGTGGCTACAAATATTACGCTTTGAGTTATAGCCATTCTGTGATGTGTTTTTTAGTTTATTGCAAAATTTCTTCTGTTTTTTTTTTTAACAGTTGGTGACTTTTTTGGTAGATAAGGAAATCTTCTAGGATTTGCTTTGAATCTTATATAATTTATATTTCATAATGTTCCATCGATAGATGACTTCAAACATGCCGATCTAATGACATCTCCAATCAAATTCTTAAGCTTGCTTACTTTAGAATTTTTTATTTACTCATTTATAGTGAACACGTCATATGTCACCGAGGGATGGAGTTGCCAGATGCAACATTATAGCTTGAAATTTTGCATTTGTTTTTAGAGTTAATTATATATTAGTTTATTTTGGTTAGATTGTCTTTGCATAGACTATGCATATCAGGGTGCATATAAATAAACCTTACTCATACATGCTGTTTCTATCACCATTGTTTTTATGTGTTATTGTGATATCTTATTTGTCTTGCATCCATCATTGGAATATGTTTATAAGTTAACAATGTTTGTTGTTATGTCATTTATTCTTCATTGTGTATTGTATTCCTCATTAAAAATATGTTAAAATCTTTGAAGTTTTTATCAGTCTCCACTGTCCATCAAATGAATCTATGCAGTCTTCTTAGTCAGCATGCTCTACCCCAGCTGTTTTTTTCACATTTGAAAAAAGTGCAATTCAAGTTAATGCTACTTCTTCACATTGGTGTGTCATGAATTTTATGATTTATACATACAGGGGTCTGTCCAGATATTTTGTGAAAGGTCCCGTTTATTTAAAATTGTAAAAAAACTACTCATAATTTGTGAACATAAATTAAGCGTTAAGTCACATTCTTTCAACCATGGTCCTGCTTTTGAGAATTTGTGCAAATAGGGTTTTGTTATTGCAAAAATTGCTAAAAACCTTTTCAAAAAGTTTTTAAATGTAAAAAGATACAAGATTCTGCTCTACAATTGCTGTTATTTTAGCCTACACTGCTCAACACAGAATATTCATTTCGGACGAATAATGGAAACAAAATCACTCACATTTTTAATAATTCCAATTGACTTATTTTAAATAACACAACTTAGTTATGTATCACTTTTAATGTGTTAAGCATTAAGTAAATTTAAACAATTCTTAAATTTATAATATTTTATTTAAAAAATTGCCAGAAATAAATTTTTATTTACATAATATTCTATTAATTAATTTTATGAATAAATATAAACTGGTCAATTATTTATTTACAAAAAAAAAATAATAATTTAGTATCAATAAGAATGTGCACACGGATGTGTGTAAATATAGAAATATATTTTCTTGTGGAATTTAAACTTACGGAAACTTGGAAAACTTAGTTCGTTTCGAACCGTCTTTCTCTCCCTCGGGAAGGGTTTATTCGATTAACAAGACAATAATGAAGATAAACAAATTTGTGAAGGGTCCGTTTTTATGAAAAGATATTTTGTGAAGGGTCTGTTATTCTTCTAAACAGACCTCTGACATATATGACCAGAGATGATTGTGCTAACCGCGATCCAGAAGTTTCAAGAAATAATCAATCACATTTATGTATAAAAATCCTTGTATATTTTATTTAAAAATATAAGAACTGGAATTTATACTTGGCATTTCTTTCATTTGTAAATATTTTTTTGGTCGAATAATAAATGTGATTAGCTATAAAAGTAAACTTATACATAATTATTCATTTAAATTATGCTGCATATAATTTATTTGAGATTTCATATTTTGAAAATATCAATGATTTAAATTTATAAAGACATTAATTTTTTGAAATGGGTTATTAATGATTTTTTTCAAGACATTTTCAGGATTTTTGAATTGGGCTCATAATTACCCCTGCATGACTCTTTAAAACTATACTCATCTAGACTAATTTTTTTCCCCATGAATTTAGTGAGTCATTATTATGTGTTGTAATATAGTTAATAGTTTTTAAACACAATATGTAAAATTGATATATTTTTGTTCAGCTTTGATTTCACCAAGCACTTGACTCAATGGCTCTACAACAATGAAAATTTACTTTACAAGTTGACTGATACTAAATTTTAAAGTAATTTTTTTGTAGCATAGTTAACACAGTGATTGTCAGATTAATTTTGGTCTAGCAGACAGACAAGGCCATATTCAAGGTGGAAAACTGTCACAGGGCATGGAACTGCTAAGGTGCCTTTGTCAAAAAATATTGTGTGTTTCATGTAATTTTCTAAAAGATTACAGAGAATCCTCTGATACTTCTACGAGAAAATATAAAAACTACAATTTTGTTTTAAGGCTCTTCAAAATATGAAATTAAGATTTGTTAATCAATGAGGAAGGGATCTGCGATAAACTTCAGCCTGGCTTCAGCTTAGCTAAGTCAGCTGGAATAGAAATTCCAGTTGTTTTGAGATGGGCATCATTTTGATATTACTAGAACATTTCACCAGGTACAATAATTGTAAAATAAACTGGACTTTGAACCAAAATTTAAAGTGGGAGATAAGTATTTAGCTGTAGTAGCTAGAGTCTTTCATCTGAAATACACTTGTTTATGACCTAGGACATGCAAAATAAAAACACACTTTCGATGTTAAAAATTTTGAAGTCATTTCTGAAATATTCTATATCTGATTAAATTGCTGTATTTTCTTACAAGGAAATAAATTTATCGGAAAAACATGTTTAAAATCAACTCACTGAGAAACAAGAATGAATTTTTTATTTCATTACTTTTATCATGATATAGCGTTTATTAAATATTTCATATAGCTATTAATGCTCAATTATTTATAGATGTAATTCAAGAATTATATAAAAAATAGTTTATTATTTAAAATTTTTCATATTTTAACTGACACATTGAAAATTTATAGATAGTTATCAGTTTTAAAACCCTATTCAAAAAAGTTTTATGGCGGTCCCACTGACCAACATAACATATAAACAATTCAAATTTAAACAAAGACTTAATAATCACATGGTTATATGTTTAAACACTGGAAAATCATTTTATAAATGGTCTTGACTCTTTCCCTAACACGCATGGATAAAATTTTCAACAAAAAGTGCTTAACTCACACTGTGTATTATAGCTTAAACCTGACTAAACCGTCTTGGCTATCCGCTTGAATAAGTAACTCTGTATTTTGGAATTTTAATGTTATAATTTTTTTTAAGCTTATTGAAATTAGTTTGGAAAGTTATAAAATTTCTTTTGTAGAAAATACTTTTTTCTCATTAAATAGTTTTATCCAATTAACTTCTGGTTAGAAAGTAGGATGTCATAGGCTGTGCACCCCTACTACAACATAAATATGAGGGTTCGAAAATTAATCTGGGTCAAAATATGAGATGATTCAAGCTTTTTTAATTTTTTGCAATTTTAACCTTTCAAGTTTAAATCAAAACCAATTTTGAAATGGTTTCTGTACCATTAAGCATTTACACATTTTAATGTTTTTTCTTTCACCACTGAAACATTTATGCTACAGCTCGTTGTAGGCCAGTAAGCAAGGGTGATTGTGAGTCCAAGTCAAAATTCCGGAAAATTTCTTAAGTAAAAAAAAATAAGAAAAAAAAAGTTTAAATCAAAAACTTAGAAAAAAATTTAACAAGGTTTTTTTCCTTTTTCTCAATATTTCTTAGTTTACTTAAAATATATTTAAAATTTTACACATACCTATGATGACCTGGAGAAGTAATTAAAATTTACAAATATGTCTTTCTTTCTTGAGTTTGTGATTATAATAACTATTTATTGATAAAAAATTAATATTAATCTTGAATATAAGCTTATAAAGTATCTGGCTTTCCCCTACAAACTAATAAAATAAACTGTGTTTATAAGTTCCACCTTTGAAAATTTGACCTCCGGATCACAGTTAGCGAAAAATCCGGAAATCCGGATTTTTTCCGGAGCACAATCAGCCCTGCAGTAAGGTTAAGGCTCCACAATTTTGTGGCCAACGTCATGATTGTGACAAATGTGGTCAGCACTGAGCGACAGCAGGCTGCTTTTACTTCCCAGACAAGCTAATGCCCATTCACACGAAGCTGGATGGGCTTCAAGCCTCCATTTGGGAACAAACAGCAGTTCTTCACAAAGACAGTTCTGTACCTTAATCACTGAGCCTGAGCAATCGTAGTTCATTGTTTCATCACTAAAAGTATGAATTAGGGATGCAAGGAACATTTAGCCCAAAAACAAAACTTCAAAAACATACTTTCTCAGAATAAACATACCGTTTTTTTTGTTGACAGATTTGGATTGCTGATCCTCAAAATATTGGAGGTAACCACAATTTGGGAAATATGGTTCGAATAATTTGGTCAGGAAAGCAATTCTAAGTTTGGAGCCTTTAATGTTAATTTTACCTTTTGCATATTTCTCTATATCTCAAATTTTTTTGCGTGCAATTATAAAATTTGTTTGTTCAAAAACAATTTGTAATAATTATTATATTTAACATAGTTGAAAAAATTTCTAATTGTCAGGTATACAAATTTTGACATTTAAAATAATGTAATTTTATAAGTCAAAATATGAACAAAATCAATAGTTCCTGAGAAATCAAATTTTAAAGAAGTCTTCTAATTAAAATTCAATTTCTCAGGAACTGTTAAAACATTTCGTTCAAGTTTTGACACATAAAATTACATTCTTTAAAATAATGTAAAAATTTGTATACATTGCAATTCAAAAGTTTTTTTGACAATATAAAATAAAGTAATAAGGAAAAATTATTTTCTGCGTGAAATGATCTGGATAAATGAATTTTATGACTGTAAGAACATAATTCATCAATTCTCTTAAAATTTTTTCCAGATATGGCTAAATATGCGAAACATTAAATTAACATTAAGGTGTATCAACTTTGAATAGCTCTCCTGAACAAACTATTCAGATATTTTCCAGATTGTAGCAACCTCTTAGATTTTGAGAGCCAGAAATCAAATTCCATTTAAAAAAAAAACTATGTTTATTCATAGAAAGTACATTTTTGTGACTGATTCTTAACTTTAATATTCTCTGCACAAACTAATTAGCATATTTGAGGTTACCCCCTCAAATCATTAAGATTGAGTTTATGTAAGTAGAGATCCAATCATTAAATCAAGTTATTCAGGGTGGTTTTATTATTTTTTTTTTTGAGCACTGCACAATAAAAATATTTATTAAATTTGTTATAACATTTTATTTCTATAATAACGAATTTAACATGATTTTATTTAATGTGCAATACATGAAAAATTGTATAAAATAATTGTATTTTAAATTAAAAAAATTTAAGACAGGAAAATATTTAAGGGAAAGGTTATTTATAAAAGAAATATTTGTTCCATTTCAATTAAGAGAATTAAAGGAATAATTTTCAGGAAATTATTTCAGAAACATAAAAATGAACAATTATATCAAGGTGCGTAGCCAAATTATTCAACAAAAAATAAGCACCTATTAAGCACTTTTCAAGCACTCATACAATAGGTAGGATTGAAAAGTTTTTGATGATTGACGGTTTTAACCGTCATATTAAAAAATATTAAAAAAACTTTCAGCATTGTTTTTTACAATTGTCAAATTTTTTAAATCATGTAAATCGAATAGCGTTTTCATACGATACGGACTGATGATAAGCAGAAATAGATTGGGGTTGACTTAATTGTGAAAACGTTGAATAGAACAATGTGAACAGCGTCTTTCTGCATAATTCGTAGCGAAAATCAACATGGTAAAGGAAAAAATATCATTTTGGAAAAGGGAAATTAAGCTCTTTTTAAAAACACCCAATGAAAAATGCACCTTTAAAGGCTTTTAAAAAACGAAAATAAACACTTTCTAAAAACGCTACGCACCCTGTATATATATATATAAATATACAGAAAAATTATTTCAAAATAGCTGAAAAGAAAAGCTTTACTTAATTGACCTCAGACAATAAAGTAATAAATAATATATTTTTTAATATTATATCTAACTTTATAACTATAATTTTTAATTTTATGAATAAAATATTTTAAAGTAAAAATAAAGTAATAAATTCTCTAAAAACTGAAGTATAACTGAATAAGAGCCCATTAAGACCCATTTCATAAGTTGGTAAGATTACATTAAAAGTGATAATACAAAGCTTTTTCTGATAAACCATTATTTTTTAAGTCACAATATTTGTTTAATTTTAATAAAATGAATACTAAATAAAATTTTTAGTACTACTTATATCTTGTTTGCTGAACATGTTTACTAAGAACTTTGATGATATCACTAATATTAGAATATATGAATCATATTTAGCAGTCCATTATTATGCTTAACCACAGCTCTTTGCGTCACTAGTATAAATTATACTGCAGAAAAGAAAAACATTTTAAGTTTCATTGTAAAATTACATTTTTCAAAACTTACTGATTTATAAGAAAAAGCTATATCAATACTTGGTATCTTTCGCAATCTAAAAAATTAAAGTCAGTGAAAAAGAATTATCGTAGTCGTTAAAAATATGCTTATTGATTGATAACTGTCTTGCACACTTATACAAAATTTATCAAACATTAAGGCAATAACAACAAAAAAATATATTTTAAAACTCTTTTAATATTTCTAATTTTTACAAATGAGTCCAGTGTCCATGAAACATAATTACAAATCATCAAAAAAGCTGTTGACTTGTTTATTAACCTGTTGATGCTTCTTTTTAGTTTCTTTTACATCTTGCTCTTTTAGTTCATTCACACTGGACAAGTCCCAAAATTTGACTTTCTGATCATAAGAACAACTGGCAAGTAAAGAAGAGTCGTGAGATAGTGAGAGTCCTTCAACAGCAAAACCTTTGTGTCCCCCTAAAACTCCTAAAAAGCGGTTAGGAAATAACTGGACCACTCGGATTTTTCCATCTTCACATCCTGTACAAAGAACATCATCGGAAAGAACAGCCATCGAATCTACAGAGCCCGGATGACCGGGAAATCTATCACTGATGTTTCCAAATTCACCAAAATTGAAGATGTTTATAGCTCCATCACCTCCTCCAACAGCAACTTTACTTCCATCTTTAAAAATTCCCAAACTTAACAACTCAACATCAAGATATTCGGACTGTTTATCCATTTTCATGGCCCGAAGATTGTAAGACACAATTCTTCCATCACCACTGGCTGCAAGTACGACCCTTTTTTCTTTCTTCATCGCCATGCTACTGATAAAATCCTCACAATCTTCAAATACTTGAATAGGATTTTGCATTCGGAAATCCCAAAGCACCACTTGACCTTCATCTTCTCCTGCTGCTAAAAGGTAATTATCAATCGGAAGCAGAGAATAGATAGGTAGTCCACTCACTCTGCTAAACTTACGGTACACTGAATTTGATTCCATGTCTACAACACATATAGTGGTATCCTTGGAGGCAGTAAATAAATGTTCACCGGATTCAGAAAATTTAACTGCCCTACAAGAATGTTTATGGTGTACATATGAAAGGATTTCTTTGTTAGTACTCTCTCGACTGAAGGAGTATAAATCGACTGGACCACTAATTGTACCTACGGCTACCAAATCCTTCTTTGGATGACAACAAATGCCAACTACCATATATTTGAAATCAATATCTTTAGGAACTTCTTTCTTTTGCTCTATATCTCCTGTATCATCTTCATCAAAATGAAAACCCTCTTCATCGTCAGATGAATCCGATAAATCAGAGTCATCAAAACTGTCATCACCAGAGACATCTGGCTGGTTGTCAGCAAGCTCATCATCGTTAGAAGACATTGTCTATAAAAGAAATAGAAACATGAGATAAAAGGGACAAAAAAAATATTTCGTCATTTTAACTTTTAGAAACAGAATTTTATGAATAAATGGTCATGGCTTTTAAGAATTAGATCATAAAATAATGGGAAGTATATACTCTTGAGCAATTGGGCTCTTTTTTTAATTTTAAAAAAAGAAAATCGAATATGCTTGTGTTTATATTTTTGCTCTGATGAGCATTTCTTGAATTATTTAGATTTGAAACAATTAGCACAGTTTTAGTTTGCTGGTTATAGGCCTAGATTGCTAGCAAACTAAAATGAAAAAACCACCAAGAATTGATATACTTTTTTTCTCGATAATTCAAATTTGTAAGAAAAATTGGAAGATTCTATTTGAAAATAATACCAACCCTCTCGAAAGAGCAGCAACTCTGCTTATGAGTGATAGCGGGTCTGTCACACCATTATAGGTATGACAGACCTTTATAGTTAGATATATTTCCTAGCTTTAAAATTTCCCTCATTTCATAAAATCATATACATATTTAATCAATCCTAATCCCTCTTTAAATGAACGAAGTAGTTAATTTTTATTCAATTTTATAAAAAGCAAATGCAAATATTTTAATTCTTCAATAAATGCAACAGCAACAAATTATAATTTAATGTCGCAACTGAGTATCAAAATCTATTATTTTTAAACTTTCTTTCTTCAACCACATTAAACACTAGTAATACATAATTAGGTTTACTTTAATTTCTAACAAACTTTTTGGCCTTCATTTATATATTAACATTAGATATTGTATGGTTAGCTGAATTAGCTTATAAGTTTTGGCAGAATCCCTTTTCAACAACGTCACTGTAATGGAACTCTCATGTACTACAAAGTGCCAATTAAGTACTCACTTTATGAATTGGATTATGATCATGGAGGATTTGTCTCCCATGGCCTGCCCCTAATGATATCATCAATCAAAATGTATTCTTTTACTTAAAATGTTATTTGGATAAGACATCCTCTTAATATTGCAACTTGAGCTCATTGTTATTACTTCCAAATAATAAGCTTCCTTCTAAGTAACATCCCATTTTCATCATTAACTATTTTGTTTTCATGATATTTTGTTTACAATTGCTATGTGAAGTATCATCCATCAACTTGTCATTTCTGCCACAATTAACAAATCTTTTTACTTCAAATATTTATCAACACCAACTACAAAATTATTTTCACATACATGGTGCCTAGACATGGATAATAAAGATGGCTTTCCAACACACACAAAAAAAAATCAGAACATTATTAGGATGATTTTATGATTCTCTCCAGTTTCCTTGATCAACAGTTTCTTAAACTGTCTGCTTTTCCCATTGTCATTGGACTTATGTTTTACCTTACTAAAGATTTACTGGTTAAGAGTAGACTTCTTGTCCCGCCTGTGCTCTTAATGAAGAAATAAGCATAGAAAAAAAAATCACTGAACTTTTCTTTGCCGTCGAATATTTTTTATTACTTTTTTTTGATGAACACACAATACATTATTATCTATATTTAAAACTTTTCTTAGATATTAAAAGAAATAGAAGATAATCCAGCACACTGGTTTAAGGAATGTTTTTGAATTTATACTCTCTTTCACACACATTTTTCAACTTTGTGAAGCAGGGTGTAAATGATTTTAATCAAATGATTAAAATCATGATTTTAATCACATGATTTTTTTAAAAAAATCACTGATTTTAATTAAAAAAAAAACAATTTTGTGTATAGTCTTGAACATTTTTTGTATATTTTTCTAAGTTTCAAACATAAACAAGTAAGTAGACTGTTCTATATATTTCTCAGATCTCACTCAAATAATTCAACATTTCTACTTTCAATGTGACTCATTTGCTTTTAAAAACAGTTTACATATTATATTTATAGTTCACTGAACAGTTTACATATGATTGCACTAAACTACATTAACACTAAATGAAAAAGATCAAGCTGTAAACTTTGTTAAGGAAAAGTATGGAGAAACCTCCTTATTAAGTATTTTGCTAAAATTCATTGTACGCTCTCCTCCGTTTAATGGAACTTTGTTTGATAAAGAATCTCTAGAATCTTTAAACATCTTGGAATGGTGGAAATCAATTGCGCTTCTAAAGAACTGTGTAGGTCAAAAAGAGTTTGATGCAATACAGTTGTTATGTACTGCAAAAGGAACAACTGCAGGGATAGAGAGGATGTTTTCCACTTTTGGACTTGTACATACTAAACTACGGAATCAATTGGGTGTAGAAAAGGCAGCTAAATTAGTCCTTATGTTTAAATCTTTAAATAAAACTAATTAAATGATTGTTTAAATAATTTGATATTGTNAATTATGATTTAATGATAGTGGAAGTAACTGCAAACTTTCAAAGACAAGTGCAACAAGGGGGTGTGATAGCTATTTTCCCTCTCCCATATAAATCTATGTATTGACAGCAATGACAAACTAAATAAAAAGAGTTGAAAATAAAGAAGGGTTGAGGAAAGAAAGGGCAAAAAGGGTATGGAGTCTATTACATCAGGGGCAACAGGGTGGATTCTTTTGACTAAAGAAAAGCAGGGTGCTGCACCCTGTTTACCCTGCCTAGAATGAGCTCTGGAATATATGGTATAAAAATGACAATATTTCATTTAGTGATTGTGTTGAATTATTCTTTTATGAAAGACAACACTTTATTGTGCTTTTCATAAATGCTTGAAATAATTTTAAATGATAGAATGACATCACAAATGACTTAACCAAACGAATATAATTTCTTCTAGTTGAATGAATAGTATATTTAATGTATATTAAGCAGGATATAATATTTTTCTCTTGTTAAAATAATAAAATGGTATTTTGATTTCAATCATATAACAACTGTGTGATATTTACTCACTTAACTGATATAATTCAATACATAGATACTGAAAATATTTGATGTATACACTGCTCATGAAAAAGTTTGTAGCGCACACACTAAATTGAATTTTAATTTGAGCATCAGATCATTTTTTTTTCAGTAAGAGAAAGGTATGCCATTAAAAACGGAAAATTTTCATAGCAAATAATTTCATATTCAGCTTTTATAAGATAAATCAGTAGCTTGATAAGAATAATTACAAGTATAAAAATAAGGAGAACACTTTATTGCAATAAGGGATAAGAATATAGAGAACTTTCTATTTCTGCTCGGTGAACCAGCTTGCTCGTTTCTTTGTACAATTTTCGATTTCTTTCTCTAAATCTATTTTACTCTTTTTTAAGCCCAATATTTTTTTCTCCTTTCTTTTTCTCTAGCCTTTTGAGATTCTAAATACACTTTATACTGGGCAAGTGTACTGCTACATTAAATAACCATTTCTCTGGTTATTTTTACTTCCCAGAGCCCCCTACATTTTATTATATTATTGTAAATACTTCACGACAAAATATAGGATACATAACTTAAAAATTCTTAAAACTTTAATGTTCTTGTTCATGCTGAATCTTCTTTCCACAGACGTCGAAAAGAGTTTGTGGGAAGGAGTCAAAACCATCTTAATAATTTCTCAAAACTTAGGAAATTTATAACTTTCAAACTAAGGAAGGAAAAATTATCTAATCTTGATATTTTGAGATCAAATTTTCTAAAAGAGGTATTTTTGTGATCAAATTTTCTAAAAGAGGTATTTTTGTGATCAAAGTTTCCCTGGGTAAACCACTATATATATTTTTTTAATTTGCAATTTTAAAATCCATATAACTTCTTGGTAATTGCAGTTTGCATGACAGATTTTGATCTGTCTCGCCAACTACAATCACCAAATAAACATTGAATTTGCACATTTTGCTTTAAAAAAATGATGTAGAGGTTGGTATGTGGTTGGCTACGAGCTATACCCTTAAAGGTGGTCCCCTTCTGTGATATTTTCTTCCCTGGCAGACCACTGCCTGGAGGTTTATTGATTATTTTCATTTAGATCATGATCGGTAAATCTTCCTTTAAAGTTCTCCTAAAAGTGTAAAAGATTTAACACCCCTGGGATAAGTTAATAGGGAAGATTTATGAATGTCCCATACAAATATTTGCTAGTATAAGGCTACTCACAAATTAAAGAGATTTCCGTATCATGATCTGTAGAAGAATAATTGCCGAATCTTGGTAACTTCCGAGCAGCGCCCGGGGATATTTTCATACTGTGATCTGTCGCGCCAACTACAATTGCCAAGGTGCCAAATAGATTTTAAACTTGAAGATTTTTTATAAAAATCATGTAGATGTTTGCCCGGGGGTTACTACGAGTTAGACCATTCGAGTTGGTCCCTTTCTGTGATGTTTTTTTAGTTTCTTGCGGGCCACTGCCCGAAGTTTCCAAGACTTGGCGATTATTCTGCCACAGATCACGATACGGAAATCTCCCCCAGCAGGCCACAGGAAACAAAAAAAATCCCAAAAGGGGACAACTTAAAAGGGAATAACTCTTTACACACTATCAGGAAAACCTCATCATGATTTTTTTAAAACCATTTACAAGCTTAAAATCTACTTGGCGGTTTGGCGAGGGTTGTTGGTGCAACAGATCATGATCGGGAAATGTCTCCAAAATGAAGAATGCATGGAATTCAGTAAGAACAATAGTTTTATACTTAAAATTTTGGGGATATCATGATCTGTTGCATCCACTATAACTGCCAAGGCACCAAATGGATTTTAAACTTGCAAAAAAGAGCCTGTACAGATTTGCTCATGTTTGACAACGAGTTATAAATACGATTAAATACATAGTAAATTTTAATCAAGATATTATTAAGCAAATGTAGGCACATATTATATGCATTTAGTTAAGCTATTCAAGAATATAAAAAGTTTCCCTAAAGTGTTATAAAATTAAACATAATGTATTGAATGATATATGTAACCTTACTAAATAGCAATTTTCAACTTTAATATTTTAACGGCACGTTGTTTGGTGAACGACGTCAATAGTAAACAATAATTAAATGAATTGGAAATGGCAGATAACGTTTCCGACTGCCTATTTCTTTTATTTAAAAGCTCATATGCACTAAGGCACAGGAACTTTTGCAATTTACAAACTTAACGCTCGAATCTGCCCTCTAGTGGGATGATATTTTCAGGCTATTTATTAGGTTTTCAGGCGATAAACCTATTTATTAGGTTCATTAGGCTATCAGAATCATTGGCAGAGTAGGACGCTTTTATTCAGCAGCAAATATGAAGCAAAATTTGACTAAGAAAGGGCAGAAGAACATGAAAAGATGATTCAGAACATTGGTATATCCTTCTGAAACAAAACGCGCCAAACATTTGATTAATAATTTCTTAAATGTTTTAACGACCAACTATTATTAACAACCAACTTGCAATAGATAACTTCAGATTTGTAAACTGTTACAGATAAGTGTATTACGGTAAAACTTTTTTTGTTGTCTTCAATTCATTATGAAATAAAGTCCACATGGCTTTCTTCATTCCAATGAATAAATGTGATTTCAGAGCGAGCAGACCTGTAATAGTAATAGAATATTCGTCTTGTTCATAGAATGACATATATTTCTGTATCTATATAATTCGGAATCTAACAATAAGGAATCATAACAAATAATTATTTTTTATTGTTTTCTTGGTAAGTATTTTTTAAGTTTGAATGATTTATTTCAACAAAAAATCAGCTATTCGGTTTTTAAGTTGTATATTGTAATTCATATCGAGATCTTACAATTAAAAAATTTTGTTATATATTTTACCAATTATCTAGCGAAAATATAGAACGATTTCTCAGGCACAAGGTTTTAACTCTAATAAGATGATAAGATAAATATTTTTGTCTGTTTCTGTTTATATACAAATATTTTTTCTCATATGTTTCAAATGTTCCTTCTCAAAAAAAAAAAAAAAAAAAAAAAAAAAAAAAAAAAAAAAAAAAAAAAATATTATCTTGTATGAGAAAGAATATCAAACATTTTTCTTTTTCAAATTTAATAAGCCACAATAAAGAAGGAACGTTACATGCTACACTGGAGAAATCTTCGTGTAGCATGATAACGTCCCTTCTTTATTGTGGCTTAGATTGTAAGTTATAGATAGTAAGATAATTACTTTTGTCTTCATTTTCTTCAAAATTATGTGATCATTAATGGGTTGAAGTGGTTCTGAGAGTAAGAATTTTTTTTAAATACTCAATAATGGCTTTTGGAAAACTTTAATTATTGTTAGATTCAATGAATAATCCATTATTTATTTAATATTTCCGGCGCCCTTATGAAATAACTTAAAGTAAAATGCCAATGAAAAAGGAGTAGTAAATTTAGATAAAATTTTTTTTAATGAAACAAACATATGTATATTTTTTACTATCAATTTGTAGAATAAATTATGAAAAGGAGTTGTGTTTATAAAAATTTGTAAGTATTTTCTTTCGTGCTTTTCAAATAAAAATAACTATATTCGTTAATAAAGAAATATGTTCCCTAACAAACATTTTCAAAATTTATAGCAATTCCTTTCAAAGAATACCATATTAATGCCATAAAAATACCATAATTAACCAACCAATCGTAAACAGTACCGCTCTATCCTCTGAGCCACCTTGTCATTCATTCCTCTTATTTATTTATTTATCTCCGTCGCTGAACAGCTTTTCCAATTTTGTATTTACGACTACAGATTTTCAACTCCGTAGCCTTGTAATTTGAACCCAATCCAGAAGACAAGGGCCTGGATCAAGCCTGGATTTTCTGCCTGGATCAAGTATTGAGGGAAAATTTGCCTTCTTGATTGACATTTTTGATGCAACTAACCCGCATTTGCGTTACATAGAGAGAAAAACCACGAAAACCTCCCACAACTAGCTGGGCGGAAATGTTCACTCTGTATCCTTGTAATTTTGAATCCAATGCAGAAGACAAGGTAACTCCAGGATCAAGTATTGGGAGAAATTTGCCTTCTTGGAGGGTCATTTTTGATGGAAATAACCCGCATTTGCGTTACTTGGAAAGGAGAGGATATTTTACGTCAACACTGTGGTCGGTGTGAGACGGATGAGAAATTTGAATTGACCAACTATCGATGGTATTCGAACTCGAATCACCTCATTGGGAGGTGAGGGCTCTATCCCCTGAGCCACCACGACCCTATATACTTTATTAATAAAGTCGGGGTTCCGTTGAAAAAAGGTTGATAATTTAAAGGTACATAGTAGAAAAAAAATTGGGATCCGCTGGATTATACTAGTAGTTCTAGCATTGATAAACAATATAAGAGTGAGAAAAAAAGAAAAAATAATTTCATCAACAGAAAATAAAACAATAAAACTTTTCTGTTCTGAACAGTCATGTCTCCTTCTGATCCCCTTTAATCAATACTTACAGAATCATTGTCAAAAATGAATCCAAAAAAGTATACATATAAAGGGTTGAAAACAAGTATTTCATAGAAAAAAACTACTCTTATACTCTAGCGTATCTCTATTGAGGAAGATGGATCTGAAAATATAAAATTAGTTTTATATCCTCATGAAATTTGAAGGTGTAGCAATCAAGTTGTAGCATAAAGCAATCAAACCTGAACCGAAAACAGAAGAAAAATAAAGTAGGTGACTCGCGTTTCAACTACTCTGTTTTTTCCAGTACTCGAACAGATTTTTAGTTCCACCTTCCTTAGTATAAATTCACTGACTTTCCTGGTTTTTTTGTATAACATTGCTTACATTTTCAACTCTTTATGCTCAAGGGAGAAATTGTTACATCTTGGATCAGTTTTAAATTTTTTATGTCGAAATTAAATGAATAATTTAAAGAAAAAATTAGAGATTAAAGCGGGAAATACAAAATATACGTTTGTATTATCAGTATACTTATTCTGTGAAAAAATTCTTACACTTCAAAAAAAGTTTTTTTCGAAGGAAGAAAAATTGGTTCAAGGTACAATATGACTTGAATTACCATAACATTATCTCAGATATGCTGCAATTGATTGAATTTGGATATTCATGGAATGAAAATTTGCTTATCTGGTATTTTGTATAGTGAAACAAATCAAATTAACTATATAAATAATAAGAAAAAATGTATCACTGTATTATTTAAAAAACGTTCAGCTTTCTTAAGAATATTAAAGTTTTTTGCGAATTGTGAATGCCATTTACCAGGTAAAGATATTTGTGCTGCACACAGCTTGCGCAGGTCCAAAATACAATACTGAGACTGGTTCAAAGTACAACACCCATACACTTTTTGATTTTATGAAGCCTAACAGAAATTAACCTTTTCTCTCTAAATATACTGATATTTTATCTTACAGATTCGCCTGTCCGACTCACTTAGTTAAAAAGTCTGCACTATTTGAAAAACAAAATGAAGTCAGAGGTAAAAATCTACAATAATCTAAAAATATCCTATGTCATTCTAAATTAGTTTTCGTATATTACCAGCAACGAGAATTTTAAAATGATATTTTTCACATTATATAAACTGCCGACCGGCCTGTGTAGGGGTTAGGGAACTGCCCTTGCATCAGAAAGGTTCTGGGTTAGAATCCCTGAGTAAGGCATGGATGTTCTTTCGTTCTCTGTACTATATGTCCTTACTGTGGGAGCAAATTTGGCCCACCTAATATGGTGTCCCTGCGAGAGTGACCAACAAATCTGCCTTCAGATGCTTGTATGACCTAGGTAATTATCCAGGTGGGCATTTGGAAAAAAAATCTTAAAGAGAAAGACATGTTGACATAAATGACATGTTATGAAATGTAACATTTAATTGGCTTTGTTATCAAATCAAACAGAATGGGAAAAAATTACTCAGCAAATAGAAAATCATAAAAGTTCTCTAACACAAACCGGGAAAAATCTGAAACGGTGGCTAACACAGAAGATAGTTCCTGTTCAGTCCATAGTAGGGGCTTTAACAATAAAAAATGAATGCAAAAATTCATCTCTAACAGTACTGGTTCCGAGAAGATATGATCTAAGGCTCGACACTCGCCCCAATAATTTCTTGAAACATTTTTTGACAAGTATTTTCAATATTGATATATAGGGGGTAGTCATTACAGACAGAACACCCTGTGCATTATCTTCCCCTCAACTGAGTGAAAAATATTTTGTTAGATATACTAGATATGCATTTCTATATAAAGCGTTTCTGTTCGTAAACTGAGAAAGGTATAAAAACCCCTAAAATGCTCTACTAAAACTGAAAAATAAAATTGGAAGAACAATATATTAACTATTCTTTAAAAATAATGTAATGTAATTTTTAAAATTCTCGAAATGATTTAAAAATAAGCGCTGTATTAATTTCGAGCATTTCTTTTTGCTTGATGTTTATGGAAAAAACAGCGGCAAAATTGTAGCTGTACTGTTATAAGCTCAAATACTCAAAGTAATTGGCTGATACTCAAATAATTGGATAATAGTAAAGCTGATACTCAAAATAATTGGAAATAAAGCATCTCAAAATACGCTTATAATTTTTTTGTTAAAACTATCGGGCTGCGCCCTCTATTTGCTTACGCTGTTATTTTATTCATTAGCTTATAATTTACCAAACTATGTTATGGATGGCTCAAATACGACTATATTTGTAAAGGGAATTCCGCATCCGGCTTGCCCCGACCACAGTGCTGATGTAAAATATCCTGGGTTAGATCATGGGTTAGAATCCCCTTGCCGTCACGCTAGCCTTGGGAGGTTTTTGTGGTTTCCCTCTCCATGTAACGCAAATATGACTTAGATCCATTACAAATACTGCATTGATGGCGAATTTCTCCTAATATTTGATCCTGAAGTTACCTTGTCTTCTGAATGGGGTTCAAAATTACAAGGGTACGGAGTTGAACATAGGTAGTCATAAACTCAAAATTGGGTTACCTGTTCAACGACGGTTTTTAAATAAAATATTTGTAAAGGAAATTATATACGTAATGACAAATATATATAATTTCCGTTTTCTGTTTCATTTTGTAATCTTTTTTTGTTAAAACTATTGTGCTGCACCTTCTGTTTGGTTTATATATTAATGATTAGTTTGATGGACAAAAA